ATAAAAGTGCACTAGTGCACTTCCAATTTGCGATCCTATATTTAACTCTTCTCTGCGCAGTTGCGTTCCCGTGACCCATTTCTAGCTATATTGATTTTTCACATGATAAAGAGTCATAGATATATTTGCTCTTAAAGCTTCGTAACAACATAACCGGGTGGATAGCATTTAAAACATTCTATTGTATTCTAAGCAGTGCAGTGTATGGTTACCTTTTAAAATCGTTCTATATTAACTCAGTTATATAAAAATTAAAAGCAAATTAAACAAATCTTTTACACAGGCAGTTTAAAGTGGTGATAGTTTTTTTTATTATTTTATGTTCACATACTATACATTCATTCATTTTGTGTCTAATTTCCTTGCATTTATATTAATCATTACTCATTTGATTTCCTAGTTAACAGGAATAAAAATTATTTATTTGGAAAATTTGTTCCTTTTAAGGTAAGGTGCTTCAATATGAAGGAGATGGTAAGAGGATGCTGTGTATGCTCAGATGAGCGTGGTTGGCCCGGAAACCCGCTAATTTATTGTTTTGGAAGTGGGTGTACTGTTGCAGTTCATCAAGGTATATATAATGTCACTCACATAATTAAGTCCTAACGGAACTAGGCTGTGTATTCATATAACAATATTTTTTCAGCCTGTTACAAGATAATTGCTGTTCCTACAGGACCCTGGTTCTGCCGGAAGTGTTTGAGTCCCACAACCAAAACCAAATCAAAGGCAAACTTGTAAGTTTTTTATGCCTTCATCAATTCTTATGAAAATAAAGATAAAGATTGTTGATCAAGATTTATTTGTAAATTAAAATATGTTTTTTAGTAGATATAGTTTTAAAATAACTTCAAATCAATAAATATTCAAGTATGCGCGCCCATAAATGTGCACAGGTCATAAATTAATATAGGTGAAATCGTGGAGAACAGTAGTTTTCTATAAATATACACTGGCCTGTATAATCAATATAATATTTTTACTATATTTTTTTTAATACTACCTATTTTCTTAGATGCGGTTAATTACAATTACCTCAAGGCCACACTAGAGGTCAGCTACAGCTCCCACACAAATACTTTGCGTCTCCCTGTCTGTATCTAGTCTGACGTCAAGGAAGGCATGATCTGCGAACAATGTTTTACTCCTCTAAATTATAATTTAAATAACATTTGCTTAAGTTTTAATAATTAATTGTAATTATAAATAAATGATCATCCAAATAGACAGTATTGTTTCAATTCGCAAATCTCCAAATAAATTCCATGTAAAAGAGATCCTTACTGTATACATACAATCAAATGTCAGATATTTTCTGTTTTAATAAAAAAACAGTGTGTGTGTAACCTTTACGCGCCATTGAAGTAAAACTTCTTTGGCGTTGACGGAATATATCACTGAAATTATTAAATATTAACTTAAATAATAAATATAATGTTATAATTTAATTATATTTATTATTCATGTGCTTTACAAAGATTATTCAAATGTTATATTAATATTATTCATTCGAAATAGGTAATTGAATGTCATCATAATTTCAAACAGTTACACTGAAAATATAGCCAGAGATGGAATACACAATACATTTAACTACAAAAAGGTTCAAAAATTTACAAAAGGAAACAAACAAATAAAAATTATTCAATACATGTACCACTTAGGGTACCTAATTTGGTTGTGTTGTGTGATGGTGTAAAAGTGGGGTATGTACGTGAAGGTGTGTATGTGCATTGTGGGGTATGTCATGATGCAGGTGATTTTGCGCTATGGATATTCTTAATACTTCTTAGCTCAAACAAGTCAAGGCTTAAATATTGGTCGTTGTATGTCCGGGCTGCGCGATACAAAACTGAGTTTTTGCGTAGTTAGTGTTGATGTGAGGAACATGAAGCAAAGCATTTTCTAGAAGGGAGCTGCAATTAATTTTATTTGAGATGATGTCATGGTGTCATGTCACGCATTCATGTGTCATTTGTTTTTAAGAATTCGCGGCAAATCTAAAACTTTTGTTACACGTGAAAATGAACATAACGCGAGAAAATTTTCGGTCAATGATTTATGACTTTCGTTGTGGGCTTACTCAACAACAATGCTATGACAGGTTTTAACAGCGACTACTGAAGATAACATCAGTGCTGTGCGACGCATGATAGAGGAAGATAAGTGACCTATCAGCAGATACGGGCAAGCCTAGTCATTGGTATGAGTCAAGTTCAAAAAATATTCACGAAAATTTTGGCGTCATGAAGATTTGTACCAGATGGATTCCCCATACTTTAACCGACGACCAGAAACACCTTTGCATAGGCTGGTGTCGCCAAATGTTAGATAAGTTCAACGGCGGTGACTCAAATGCTGTATTTGACATCGTCACAGGTGATGAAAGTTGGATATATTGCTACGAACCCGCAACCAAAAGACAATCAGCTCAGTGGGTGTTCCCTTTCGAGAAACGGCCAACTAAGGTAAAGAAAGGAAGAAGTCAAGGAAAAAAGATGATTGCCTCATTCTTTGGTCGGAAAGCTCATTTCGCGACAGTTGTGGTAGAAGATGGAAGGACAGTTACTACAGACTGGTATGTCAATCACTGTTTGCCTGTTGTCTTGGAAAAAATGCGAGGGCAGCGCCTTCGAAGCTGGATCCTCCTTCACCACGACAATTCTTCAGTGCACTCCGCAAAACGGACTGTTGAAAATTTGACTATGGCAGGTGTCGACATAATGAGTCATCCGCCATAAAGTCCTGACCTGACGCCCTGCGACTTTCATTTTTTTTTCTTTACGAGCCCTGACGATGCGGTGAAAGCGTACGAATATGCCATAGAAGAGACCTCTAAAGAAGAATGGGCCAACTGCTTTTCTCACTGGTTCCATCGAATGCGACGATGTGTAGAGAGGAACGGAGATTACTTCGAAAAACAATAAAAGTATTGGCAACTTTCTACATTAAACCGTTTCTCATTTTCTAAACATTTTCAGTGTTACCTAGTAGTTTGGACATTCTTATCATAAAACGTCTATAATACGTATAGAACCAAAATATATTAACTGTAGTTTGTACACATCAGATAAATATTTATTTATATAATTTTTCAAATGTAAACTAAACTTTATTGACTATAATGACTCCATTTCCAGTCTTTGATTATTTAATTTTATTTAATTATTTACATGCATTCAAAAACTATTTTTAATAATGCCAAAGAAGTATAACTTCTTACGCGCGTACATAAGTACACGCACTCTTTTTTGAAGTTATACTTCTCTAGGCGCGTTATGAAAAATGGATGAGAGTGAAATTTTACGATGCGCGCGCACCGTTACACAAAATTAACAGAATGAAGTTGTCCACGGAAGATGCTACGGCATTGGACATAATTTAAAAACAAGATTCGAATAATAATAGAATTTATGTTACACTTAATGTAAGAGAATAATAATAAATATTTATTTATTTCATTTTTCAAATGTAAACTGAACTTTATTGACTATAATGACTCCTTTCCCAGTCTTTGATTATTTAATTGTAATTAATTATTTGCATGCAATCAAACTATTTTTAATAATGCCAAAGAAGTATAACTTCTTACGCGCGTACATAAGTACACGCACCCTTTTTTTTACATAAATTAATATTTATACATATTATTCTGATTCCTGGCGAAAAAAGTTACGCGCATCAGATGGTAATTTTATAATATCAGCTGGCAACCCTCAACAATTTTCTTTGTTTTGATGCCATTTTATCGCTGCCTTTGAAGCATACTCTATGCTTTTATTATTATTAATAACAATAATATTTGGCTATTGAGTGACTAAGGTGACTTTCATTATAATGTTTGATATTTTCTCACTTAAACGCGTCGAGAGCTCTTTCTTTATTTAATTTAACATTAAGATATTATAGTCAAGACTGCAAAGTTTATATCTATGGTATTTATATTGAAGTAGATATGTAAGTTTGTTTACTCTGTACTATATTTGTATTACCTATGTTTTTAGTTTGAAATCTATTGTCTTTAGGCAAAATGCATCATGTCTGGCTAGTCTTGGCTTGTGAAAGCAGCTTATTGTGAATATTATTGTTTGTTTGTTAAGGATATTTTAAACATATTTATTAGTACATAATTAATTTGTATTTGAACACATTTATTTTACACCTACCACTTTATAATTGGGTTTCAGTTACGTGTATTGACTTCGATTTATAAAGATACTGCTCCGCGCAGGTGAGGTGTTTAACTAATACGAAATTGGAAAAAGATGAATGAATAAATAATAAAATACCTGGATTAATAACAACAATGAAGAAATGTATTTTCTTGTGGTAAATATGCAATGACTTGGTGAAAAATTCATTTTCATTCTCATTGTTACCCTTAATGTCCGATAACAACCACATCAAAATATTGTTGTAGTTGTGTTATTGTCGTTTTTATTGAGTGAACTAAATGAAAATTCTTATTTTTTTAAGATCACCGAGTGCTTTATCACGATTCAATAATATTTTAGTTTTAAATTACGATATAAAAGTGCACTAGTGCACTTCCAATTTGCGATCCTATATTTATTACCTTTCTGCGCAGTTGCGTTCCCGTGACCCATTTTTAGCTATATTGATTTTTGACATGATAAAGACTTATAGATATATTTGCTCTTAAAGCTACATAACAATATAACTGGGTGGATAGCATTTAAAACATTCTATTGTATTCTAAGCAGTGCAGTGTTTAGTTACCATTTAAAATCGTTCTACATAAACTCAGTTATATAAAAATTAAAAGCAAATAAAACAAATCTTTTACACAGCCAGTTTATAGTGGTGATAGTTTGTTATTATTTTATGTTCACATATTATAAATTCATTCATTTTGTGTCTAATTTCCTTGCATTTACATTAATCATTACTCATTTGATTTCCTAGTTAACAGGAATAAAAATATTTATTTGAAAAATTTGTTCCTTTATAGGTTTTAAGGTAATAATGCTGCATTCAATATGAAGGAGATGGTAGGAGGATGCTGTGTATGCTCTGATGAGCGTGGTTGGCCTGACAACCCGCTAGTTTATTGTGATGGAAATGGGTGTACTGTTGCAGTTCATCAAGGTATATATAATGTCACTCACAAAATGAAGTCCTAACGGAACTAGGCTGTGTATTCATATAACTATATTTTTCAGCCTGTTACGGGATAATTGCTGTTCCTACAGGGCCCTGGTTCTGCCGGAAGTGTGAGAGTCCTGAAACCAAAGGCAAAGTTGTAAGTTTTTTATGCCTTTATCAATTCTTATGAAAATAAACATAAAGATTGTTGATCAAAATTTATTTATAAATTAAAAAATGATTGTTTTAACTGTCCAAGATCATTTGTAACATTACACCTACTTTGTTAGATTTGTAACATAAATCTTTAATATAATGCTGTTGTTTCGACAGTCCAAACTCTCACTATGGACAGTTTTATTATTTTTTAAACAAAAGTTTATAGACATGTAAGCATTCTAAGAATAAAGGCATGTAGCAAGTTAAATAATTACTAAATAATTCATGCAGAGATGTGAACTCTGCCCTTCAAAGTCTGGTGCTTTGAAGAGAACAGACACCGGTGGTTGGGCTCACGTTGTATGTGCACTGTACATACCTGAAGTCAGATTTGGCAATGTAACATCTATGGAGCCAATTGTATTGAGGTTGATTCCACCTGAAAGATATAACAAGGTATGTTAACATTGCAATATAAGTTGTCATTGAGCCTTGAAAAGTATTTGATACAAGAAAACAATTTAGTCACAAAAAAATTGTGATGAACTTTGTTCAATAAATAGCAATTTTTTGCTATATTACTATAAAGAATTGATTAAAAGAAAGCATATAGAGATATAGATATATATAACACACTACGAAAGTTAACCTAGCTTGCTGTAAAGCATGAGCAAACAGAACTTCTGTATAATTTTAATACTGTTTATACATTAAATAAAGAATATTAATAATTATTAACAATTTTAAAATACTCTTTTTTTACTGAATATGTTTTTTATAGATATGCTACATCTGTCAGGATTTGGGAAAGACTCACAGAGCCAATGCTGGTGCATGTATGCAGTGCAATAAATCAGGTAAATAAATATATACAAAAATATCCTTGATGTACATTTCAAATCCCCTCCGCCCACCCGCCCATCATGGGTAAAGCCCTCCGCAAACCCTTTTCAGGTGGCTCTATCTTTGCTACAAGTCTGCGAGGCAGTGGCAGAGGCAATGCAGTAACGAAAATCCGAAAGTTTACTGATGAGAACACGGCTAAAATTGTGTATCATAGCTACTTTCACAGCGTTATGTCCTACAGTATTCTACTGTGAGGTGCTGGTGCAGTGGTTCAATCCATATTTGTACTGCAGAAGCGGGCTGTTCGGGGCATTTGCTATATTTCACCAAGGGAGTTGATACGGAATAAGTTCAAGGAATTAAATATTATGACACTATCTGGTCATTATATTCTTAAAGCCTTGTTGTTTGTACAAAAAAATATAAACGATTTTAATACAAATTGTGACCTTCATCTGTATAACACTCGAAACATAACTAATCTATGCGTACGACCAACCAGGCTCTAGAAGATAAACCACTGGTTATATGGAAATTGTATTGTTTATATAACAAACTCCCAAGCGAAATTAGAGAATTATCACTGAATAAATTCAAAACTCTCGTTAAACGTAAATTGATAAATAAAAGTTTTTATAAATTTGACGATTATTTTACTGATCCTAATCCTTGGGATTGATTTGCTCCAGATCAAATTTTTATGCCTGCTGTGCCTTACAAACATTATGTGTGACTCAAAAGTTGGCGATTGAAAAGAGTAGCGGAGAGCTTTTTGCCAGTTCTTGTCTGCTCTACGCCCTTGACTTGCGAACTGGTAGTAAATGTAAATTTAGAATCAATTTAATATTTTTTCTGTTGACTTTCATAAGTATACTTGGTTACCTATATGAATAAAGTTATTTAGAGTTAGAATTTGATACTGATGCGAGATTTAAAGCTGTTTGCTTTTGTTGCCTTCAGTTATAGTCCTATAATCAGGCTTACCCGAGAGACGATAATAGTTCTTGTAACTCTTTTAAGGTTTCAGACAGTATTAGTATGTCAACAGCAAATTTCGTTATAACGAATGACGTTATAAAGAGTTAACACTGTATATGGAAAATAGGTTAATGTTAAACTTAACTAACTTACAATCGTATATTATGTCTATTTTATATTAGGAAGTAAATTCTTATTCTTAGGTTCTTTTTAAAAGTATGTAGTTGAAATATTTACGAGAACGAGAACAATATTAGTAACTAAAATTGGTAGTTTTTTAGCTGTCACTTCTAAACGAATTAATAAATTATGATGCTTTTTATAGAGATAAATAATCATAGAAAATTGTGCATAAATATGGTATGATTTTTAAATGAATCGCCCAAACTGAAATAGACTAACTTGTGTCTTTTAAATTAATGAAATTAATTCTCCTAACAGAACTGTTTTTACTGGTATATGAAAAATGTTTACAAATTATCTACAAATATTTATATGAGAATCAGACTGATACATGTATGAAATACATAGCTCTTTATATTATTAATATGATTTACATAGAATTAATTCTAACTTATGCTGTTCTAGGGTGCAGGCAGCAATTTCACGTGACTTGCGCACAGGCATTGGGCCTACTCTGTGAGGAAGCTGGCAACTACCTTGATAACGTCAAATACTGCGGTTATTGCCAACACCACTACAGTAAATTGGTAGGCTGTTTACGTTTGGTATTTAAAATAAATATTTCAAGATTACGTCCATAGATAATGGCGAATGGAGTAGTTATATTTCCAATTCTAATATATATTTTATTGAATTTTTTATCCCCTAGTTATCGTTATAAGTCAGTTTAATATTAAAATTGCCAAAACTACTGGTTCGAACAACCAATTTCCGATTGCCCCTTTACATTATTAAGACGTCAACATTTTCTAAATACAACATAGGAATAGATAGTGAAAACATGAAATTTTATATATTTTGTGGGTCGTAGCTATATTAATATTAACCTCGGTAACTGTCTCAACGGTCTCATTTAAAATTTGGTATAACGTTCGGCTTGGAAGGGTTACCTAACAGTTTTTACCCACGTCCCAGGGTAAAAGGGACTCCATTTATTGGCATTTGAGCAGACTTATTAAATGTGCAGAAAAAGGGTGGTAACGTGAAGACAATTCCGCCTTACAAGCCGGTTACTCACGAAAGTCAATCGAGTGACTCGAGCGGCGAGAAGGAGGGTGAGGCATCTCCTATGGCCACTGGCAGCGGTACTCCAACCCACGCTTCTAAATCTAAAGGGGTATGTCCTTTGATCAACGAACTGTATGGAAGTCATTACTTGATACTATTGGTACGGGAGGTAGCCTTGTCTAGAGCTAAATGTCTTAAAATTATATGCCGCTATTGATTGGTAGGGATGGAAACAGTTTTAAATAGAGCAGCTACCTCCCATACTAGTAGTATGGCCTTTAATATAGCAACACTTGTTTCTCAATATAAAGATAAGTCAAATTACAGATCATTCCTTCAAGATAATTCTGCGTTTTTTATCAAGCAATTATATGTTCCACAATTTTAAATAATTTTATTGACATTTAGTCGGACAATGCCGTGTATAGTTCGTTGCCTCTTGACATATTCTGAATGTATAATATAAAAAGTATTTAGAAATTGTATATGAAAGCACATTTGAATTTCTTTTATGCTTTAGTCGTAGAGTTGACTGTTATACTTTAAGTACATTTTTAACTTAAAACCACCTCAAAACATTTAAAAATCATTACAATTAAGTTTAAAAACTGCTTAATTCACAATTATATTTATATTTTTTATATTTTTATTTTAGCCTGGTCGTAAGTCGTCTCATTCATCGACTTCAAATAAGAACGCTCCGAGTTCGTCAAAAGTACCACCTGTCCCAATACAACCACAAGGTATGTACTAGATTATTTTTTCCTCAATTCGTTTGTATGGAAAAGAAGGATTTTGTCTTTTACATATTCCACCGTATTTCTGTTTATTTATATTTTGCCTATTTTTTATAACATTATTATGGTAAATAGATTGGAAGTTATTTACTTTTAAGTGAGAACCCTACGTTTTACATAAAGGAATTAATGTAGATAGTATTTTTTTTTAAGATTGAGCATTTCGTAAAATTTGGGCCAGGTGATGAATCAACAACTGTTTGCTATAGGTGATAATGCAGATATATGACTTATGTTAAAGGACCTTATAGTATTATTAATTGACAGCAGCCCTTGTAGTAATTGAAATAATATTTGAACCAATCTTTATACTTTACGAAAATATTATATATTCATTATTCATACATATGATTTATAAAATAATGTCATAACGTTTTTTTACGTTGTATATTAACGTTACACATTAATTAACGACACTTATTGATCAAAAGCATGAATTTTAGATAAAACCAGTACTTAACTATTGATATCATTGTCTTGTGATAACTCACTAAAAAACTATAATCAACCCAAGCATAAGATGCGATAGAGCTGAGTCGTTCAATCATTGTAAAATGCTATATTAAAATTCTACTTTAATCAAGACAAGTGTTATTTTCTTAAAATATTAGTAGAAACTTTCTAAATAATCTTTCGGTCTATGTGCGCATACAACACCTGCTCGTACTTTGAAGGAAAACATCGTGAGGAAAGTGGCGTGAAACAAAAACAAAGCCGATGGCGTGTCAGGCAGCAAAGGCTGATCAGTTACTTGTCTATTAAAAAAAAACATCACCTATCTGAGTTTTTAAATCTAAATAAAAAGAACCTATATACAAAATCTGATATCAGTACTACTACTACTGATACTACTTCAGTAAATATATTAAGTATGCTCATAGCAAATACCGCTGGAACATAGCCTGATTCTATATATATACGATACTATGTGTTTCGTATGTCAACAACGCTGTTGTGAAATTTACCTGAAGTATATTCTATTGGTACAGATAAAAAGAAGCCATCGCCAAATCGCCGTGGCTCTTCGGCTGATACGGGAACTGGTAGTAAGAATAATACGCCAGCACCTTCGCCTCAACACAACGTTGACACACAGAAGAGTAAGATTTTTATAATTTAAAAATAAACTTTGTTATTCCTAATTTTCAGATCTCTGAAAAGATTTATTTTCCCATTTTTAATCCATTGATTATTCTAGGTTTTCAAAAAACCTACAAATCATACGAATCATATTTTTTTAAATAGTGGCCACTATTATATTGTAATGGAAAGGGTAATAGGTAAAATAAGTATATTAATGTGAATCTATTAAATCAGGTGAAGTTGGAGGCAGGAGCAAAGCGAGCACCCCAGCTCCATCTCCAAGGCGTACTCCTGAACCAACTCAAGAGCAAGCTAAAGGTAATATTTTATTTTGGTTTACATATAAATCTTTTGTCCGTGTGTAATTAAACTTAACCGCTGGATAGATTTTGATGAAATTTGTGTGTGTTCAAGTGGATTTGAGAATGGTTTAGATTTACAATTACATATTTATAAGGATTCTTGCTTAATGCTTGCAGTTCGCTTGCGGTGCTTCATAATTTTCATTCAAATTATCCTGAATCCTTTTAGTTAACCACGTCTAATTTTTTTTTATTATCTAGGATTTTGATCCTTAAAGATACGAGATGCCATCCTTATAACACGAAAAATTTCTTAAATTAAATCATGCATACAATCTTAAATAAAATCATGCATACAACCACAAATCATGCATACAACCACAAATCATGCATACAATCTTAAATTAAATCATGCATACAACCACAAATCATGCATACAATCTTAAATTAAATCATGCATACAACCACAAATCATGCATACAATCTTAAATAAAATCATGCATACAAATCCAAATAAATTTGAATCTAAAAACAAGTCATTTTTAATGAAAATTCCAAAATATACTTTAAAATTAACTCAGCATCAAATTAATAGCAAAAAATTTAAAAGTGTTCATGGGTGGTGTTTTTTTTTATGAATAAATGCCACACTCGCTATCTGTGTGTACCGCAGGAAACAGGTAATCAATAATTTTATATATTTTACAGCTGGTGGTAATACTCCTGGACCTAACAAGGTACCAGCGCCGGTCGCTTCCCCAAGTGTCAAATCCAACGAGCCTGTTGGAGTCATTAGCTCTGTTGCTTCTGCCACTCCAGCTACTATTACTCCACCGCCTGGGTATTTTTATTTTTATGTTTTATTCATGATAGGCAAGGTCATGCCTCTATGCCTGTTCCAGGTCTATGGATTGATTCATTTTTTCGGTCCCAAAAAAGTATGAAAATATCAAAGATGAATGTTATAAAGAAATCATAATGAAAAGCTTATTAGATATATGGAATTCACCCGTTATCAAAGTCTCAATAGCTATAACGCTCTCGACATCAATATTCTTTACCCAAATTTTTGGTACAAAGGTACTAAACTAATCGCTTAACGATTTTAGATCGTCAGCAACATCGGTGGTCCAAGTAGCCTCTTCAAAGGCACACCAAGAGTCTGTTATAACAAATACAGAGGCAGTGGAGACCAAGCAGACGAAGAAACGCAAAGCGATGTCCGCTTCGAACGTGCAAAGCTCTGAGTACAACCCGACTCCGCCTCCACAAATTGCCCCACCTCCGGTAAGATATTTTTGTATAAAGGAATTTTTACAGCCTCTTAAACATTAAAGATTAATATTTTTGGTTAGATTTTTAACCTGTTAAATATGTTTATACCAATTCTACAGTAAGCGTAAATAAATACTACTATGACGGGGTCCATAACAGAGTCATTACTCTGTAACTTCCAATACTGACAATTCCAAGGTTTCGTCGGCGCTACGGATATTGAGAACATTTAAATTGCATACATAAACGACGGAATCAGTGTCGCCATTGGAAGTATGACTTTCGTATGCCAAATCCATTACTTAGGGGTTATATTTACTATTGTTGAGTTTTGAGTCTGTAAGTGGTGTAGTTGTTAATGTGGTGGAAATCCTATCTTACAGAAAAAATTGTTTGAATAGCGCAGAATGCTTGAATTTAAATGGGCAGCGGCTGAGAGCCCAAAATTTTACCTAAAAATACTTGACCGAAAAGTTAATGAGTGGTAAAAGATTTTTTTTTTTTACTTTGAATTGCGTTAGCCACCAATGGAGACACAGTCTTCGAGCAGTGCCTGGGAATCCCATGCAAGCAATGAGCCACATATTGATATGGACAAAGTCATTAAAAAGGCAAGTATTTCTTATTTAATAATGAACGAATTTAGTTTAATTTTGTAACTATTTGAGTAAACTATCAATTTTGTAAATTTTCGTTTTTTTTTTCTTTTCGATCTACAAAGCTACTGAATAAACAAATTGTCAGTGAGCGAGTCATGTTGGTTAATTTGACGAAACGTATTTTTTATTTCTGTTAAGTTATTTTTTAACGGTTCGACCGGTTCTTTTAAATAACCATTCATATGTTCCACTTCACTGAAATAAAGATCTATGTTGGCACTACTATAAGAGTAAAAATTAAACGACTGCTTCAATAGTTTTAGGAAAAATTAAATCTTTACGACTTCAAAAAATTAAGAAATTATGAATTGACCGTAATAGGATTAGATATTTGGTATATTAAACCGAGCACGTGTAATAAATTTCATAAGTGTGTGTTTGTCAATAAATTTCTCGAAAAATAAAACATAAATTTCATCAAAATGTGTGTGTGGTATATACGCATTGGAGAGGGGTAATACATATATAGGTGATTATATGGTTATTTTCTTCAGTTGACATGTTTGAAGTCAGTTTTATTTTTTAACAATTACTTGACGTAAATGTTTAATAACGGGAAAATCTGATCATGAAAATAAAAGAGAATAAACTTTGCAATTTAAAGGAGTCTGAGATTTTTTAGCCAGTTCTTCTCGTCCATTCTACGCACTTGGCTAGAGAGGGTAAAATATAAAATCTGAGGTTGTAGCTTCAATCCCCGGCTGTGCACCGATGGACTTTCTATTTGGGCATCGTACAGTGAAGTAAAACATCGTAAAGAACATCGTAAAGAAACCGTAATGTCTCAAATGAACAAAAATACATGTGTCAGAAGACTCCTTGTCTATGAAATAAGAATTATCAAAGAAACGAATGCAATCTGAGGCCGAGACCTATATAGGGTTGTGGCATTGGCAGTGGCATAGTGTACATTGATACGTATATAAATACATATATGTTTTTATTTGTAGGCAAAGATGGAAGGCCCAGATGCAATATCTGCACCAATGCAGTTTGCGAGTGTGAGCCAACCACAACCACCGCCGGCCCGGAGCCCAGTCTCACACCCGAGTCCAAGGTTCATAATTTATCAAAATAAAGAAATTCAAAAGTCATAGATAAATCATTATTTATTTTTCATAATTAGCTAATTCGAACGTTCATTAATATAATAGCTACGACCTGTCAGTTCTTAGTCATCAAAAGCTATTAATGAATTAATTGCTAAGTATAGGACAAAAGCGTCACGCGTATGTTTCATTTAATTACCGATGACAACCTAGAATATACATAGGCATTATTGCACTGTCGTTTCCAGGTGTTTTGCTAAAATACCCAGAGTCGAGCATTTATTAAATATGTAAAACACGGTGAGTTTTCTGCACGACAAACTAATATTACCAAAAAAATTGTTTCGTGTTTAATAACTTAAGTATTTGTTAACGGGTCTAATTTAAATATACTATAATTCATATTTACAAGTACATTCATAAAATAGGTGTTTATAATCGCCGTTTCTCCCGCTTCTTTAAGTTGTACATAAACGTACGTCTCAGGGTTTATTACTAATAGACAAGTAGTTTTCCAAAGTTCTTTCACTGGAATCGAACTGGGCAAGTGCAAGCGCTTGATGACTTTATTTTTATAGGCATCTACCAAGTCCAATGCCCGGGCCGAGTGGCCTGAACCAGATGACAAATATCCGATCTCCATCTCACATCCAGGTATGTTATGCTTATTCATACATTTTGGTTATGGGTCATTATTAAAAATCATAAATCTATTAATGTTTTTAATTCATCACCATATTTGAAAGTGTGTGTGACGCATGTGAGGCATGTCATTCCAAAACGGATTAAAAATATAGCTAAATTAACTATTTAATGATGACCCGTTTATTTGCAGGGTGGGGAGTCTGTGGTATATATTTTGATTATCATTAGTGCATTTTAAAACTATAAAAATAGTGTAGCGAATTCAGAGAGATATTTGTAAAATTTTAATAATGGTACTAGATTCTCCTACTGGATACGACGTGTAATGCAATGCTCTTTATTTTGCTTATAGCTTATGCTGCAGTTCGCCTTAAATTGGATCACATTGACGATTAGATTAGCAATTGATATTTACCAAATGAATAACATTTTAGGGAGATTACGAAAAATAAAGGAATTTATACTTGTATAGTTTTTAAACCTATGGAGAATGAGTTACGTTAATAAAACTTTTACTTGTCTTGGTTTGTGAGGTTAACGTAAGAATACCATTATCTTTTTTATGATCACATGAAAGTTAAGTGGAATAAGTAAAATGGGATTATTTAATGCGTGGGTTGTGTAGGGCGCGAAAGGGCGCGATGGGACCGCATCTCTGCTCGTCTCGGTGCCTTTGCCGACGTCCAGCCAAGGCCTGCACTTCACCCAACACCAGGTCCATACCTGTACACACAACTATATAATATACATAAAGCCTACGTTTACATATCCAACAATAGCGAACTATTATAATAATCCCAATTTCGATTTGAGTTGTCTAACTTTTAATTTTAATAATAAAAGTTTTATATTAATAATGATGGCGTACACTTTAAACGCGTAACATTGAGTCGTTAATTCGATTTATTAAAAAAATACTGAATATTTTAAAAATGAGTGATTAAAACTAGGCTAAATTAAAGTTTTTGAATTTGGAATGAATTATATTCGTTTAATTAAACAATCTCACCCACACACTTAAAAATATATAGTATAAGCCCGTATTTATTTGTACAAATATATGTAACACGTTTGGCGATTTAGGAATCTTAGACAATGAAATTTAATATACAAACAATATTGAAATCTCCAATAAATTACAATACTGTTAAATTGTTTGATTTTAAAACAATAGAAAATCTCACATCGCTCGATAAAAGCAACAAAATTACGCAGTTATATATTAAAACCCTCGACATTCCATTCGTATTAACGTTGTTTCTTGTATCAATTTACATTATCATTGTGCTTAAAACATTTCATTGGTCAAAATGGCCTACATCCCATCCATGGCGTGTAAATCCATAGTTGTGTGTACAATTAAGTTTTACTCATATAATAAGGTAGCTTTTATATTGCATGATATTTTATAGAAAAGCTTCGCTTAAGCGAGCCCTGTTTTTTCTAAATATAGCATGATGCTTTTTGACAAATGAATCCTTTGAAATATAATTAATTAAATGATTGCTATACTTGGGAGTGTCGTTTTCTTTGGTTTTCACATTGACTTTTATATAGATGCCTGGACCACCGTCGGATATATCCGGACATACAAGTATGATGTTTCATCAAGTGCAAAAACAAGTAAGTTTTTTGGTAAATCCTCTATCACTAAAGCATAATACATGTATGTATCATAGAAAAGCGTGATTAGTTAACATAAGACGAAATCTGTCCACCGACATGAAACTTCTCCATAACCTAGTTGGATGCGCATAAGTTACCTAATCCTGAGCTTGATTGCGTTAAGATGTTTCCAACACGATATTGCATTTTTTATAAAATATATCGGATACTTCACAGGTAATTTTAAGGTTAATATAACTTTCGAAGTTAAAAACTAACCGTTATTTTGGGCCACTTAATTACAGGTCATAAAAAAGAAATTCTATAATTCCTATTCACGTAGTCGGGCAAATAGCCATACTTAGCGAGGAAATTATTATTTACAAGATCGAATGATTAATATTTCTTTCTACAAACCGAAACATTGTTTGCCCGGAAATATGGCCCTCCATAACAAGTTCTAAAAAATAGGTTCTAAAAAACCATTTGAATGTCAAAGTAACATATTCATTGTATTATTAACATATTACATACCAGTATTTATTCCCACCCCTCAATTCTTAAGTACTGTATGATATAAATAATATTTGCCCTTAAAGACAACACATGTACTCAATACTAAACACATTTGGTTGTGTCGTTGACTTCTCAGTATGTTTTGTACTTAATTGTTAATTATAGTATAGTATTTTTATTTGCGCAGAAGTTTGGTTGAAAACGTATAAATTTTATAATTTAATTATACACTTTCTTTGGAAACGATTTTGATATTGTTATTCGAATCATCTTTTGTCCTGTCAAATTTATTTTTGATTTAATAACGAACGAAGTACTTGAAAATTGCTATTTTTTTTAAAGTAGGATTTCATTATAAACAAATACGACATTCTAAAAATTGTTTGTAACCCTAAAATAATATATTTTAATTTTACCAAACATATAATAGTTTAGTAAAAATGTATTTTTTTCATAATAATCTCTTCTATTATATAAACTTCAATAATTTAAAATCCCAAAATACGTTCACATCTGTCACGTGTTAAACTACCCTTAGCAAAGTGTTGCAGTTTTTACCTGCTCCCCATCCCCAGCTACCTGCCCTTATAGTGGTCCAGTCGATCGCTCTTTTTGGTTTTAGTCATATAGTAAGTCTGATTTCGACAACATCTGTCGTCTTGATAACGTGTTTTTTTTTTGCGAACTCAAAATGTGCGTTTGGCCGAACATGTGAGTGAAAATGGTGAGTTGATATTTCAATTCGTGACGATTTTTATAATAATACAGTGTACAGGTTTTCAAATTGTTTACATTAATATCTCCACGTGCTGAGACTCTTATTTCGTTTTGTTGAATTAAACGATTCTGGTGTTTTAAAATTAATCCATAGGTTCAATGTCTTATTTTTCTTCTTAGTAAGTTTTAAACTAATCAAATAGATATTTTTAAATAGAACCAGACATAAACCATTTTATGAGACTGTCATTTGTAATCTCGTCGCGGCTAAGTAAGTGTAACGATCGAGTGTTCTTTCATAATACCTGATGCGGACAATATCATCAGTTTCTACCCCTCATGTACACGTTTTAAAAGGGGTTAAATTGTTATGCAAACTGACAAACTAGTTGTCTTCATACAAGCTTTGATCAAGTTCCTTTAAATAATTTTGGGGATTTATTAAAATAACTACACGTTCGTGGTACTCAAATTTAGGCCAATCGCAAAAAAACTTACATTTAAAATCTATTTTCATAGTACATAGTTATTTATACAGAATATCGGGATGTGTATTGCCAACCAAACAGTTTCTTGTATGTATTAACGTATTTTTTTAATACCTGTATATTATCTGTATTTCGGCCAAATCTTGTTTAAGTCTTGTGCCCGGAATTAGGAAAATATTGCAAAATAGCCTTTGGTTCTTTTCTAAGGTTCCGGAATTCACCCGTATTTATCGCGATAGGTTTATTCACTTTTTTAGCTTCTGTAACATTTTAATAAATTTTCGTTCAAGACGTCTATTAAAATTTCATATTCTATACCAGTCAGAATGTTTTTTTATATAATACCTGACTTTATATATTTTCTTGGATACATAGCATAGTATGTTCTTTTACTTAACCTAAGTTTTATTTGAGTCGAGGCTTCAAAACAATACATACATATTTTAGACAAGGGATTGGTATCTGATACACTCACAATATACGTATACTTAATAGAATTATTAAGAGCAAATAAGTATAAAAATCAGCATTTATATCAACAATTTCAGATTCAGTCTCTGAATAATGCATTCCAACATAACGATACAATTTTACTTGTGCCTTAAGCGTGTAATAGAACAGTGGGCTGGTCGTATTTAATAATAATGTTTTCCTTTTTCCTCCAGGTATCGTGTTCCGTTTCTAATTTTACCTTATGATTCAGTTATTTAAATTCAGAATTAGTATGTTCACACAATCGTTAAGTAAATAATATTCGTTTTTAGTTTTAATAGTTGTTAATAAATATCGCTTTTTATTGCAGGCTGCTATGGAGCAGAGTGTTGCTGGTCATCCAACTCATATTCCAGGAAGGTCAGCTTGGGGCGGTCTCAACGTCACCTACGAATTGCAAGATCCTAACAAAGCCGGGTAAGCTTTTTATTTTTATCGCTGGCGACAAATAACATTTGAACGTACGCATTGTTGTACGCTTTTAAACTGTAATTTTAAACACTTTATCAGGCATTGCCCGAGAGAAACATAAGTCTTAATTTGCTGGGCCGTTTAATGTTTTACGTTGCTATGTATTTTGCAATGCGAATTCTTCTTTCAAGCGATTTTATGCTTAATTGTAGTGAACATTTGGCACGTGTAATCTTTGCTTCTGAACTGAATTGTGAATCGCTTTTATATTTTAGACAAAATTATCCTGTTGATACATATTTTCAATAGTACTGAGGAATTATTATTTTTATTTATTTATTAATAATAATTCTCTCAAAAATAGCTCTCAAAAATTACACGTGAAAAACAAAGACGAACAATCATGGGAAAAGTAACACAGATTATTAATGTTGATTATACAAGATTCTCGCCGCTGACAAATTAGCATTTGTAATACGAAGACAATTTCAATATATATTTAATTCAGAAAGACCCTTTTGTTGGCATTCATCGGTTCATCCATTACATCCTGTTAACAAAGTATAGTGACCGCTGTCTGTGTTTTTGCACTGGTTTTATTTCTAACTTAAGGTTTCTGTATGATTTTTCACACGGCCAATAAGTAAAAATTTGGAGATTATTTAATTTAAAAGAAACTTCTCGTTAATGAAACGCCGTTATGTTAATAAAATTGCCGTTTATCGTTAACACAAAGGATGTTGCTGACTTTTCGACTGAAATTTTCTTAGTATGCTCGCGTTAATAAAAAATCATATAAATACAGTGTATATAAAATAATAATCAAAGTAGATACCAATAATTTTTGCTATCTGCAACTTTCGGCGAATTATATTTTATAAAATAAAATAGCTATTGCGGCACATTCAATGCGATTGTTGTTATAATAAAACAGGAATTGATACATTAAAGATCAATCTTTTACAGGGTTGGAATGGCTGTTCCCAAGGACCAGATGGGTCCCAACATGGGGCAAATAGTTCCCGCGCATCGTAATAAGAAACGTGCTATAGCCCATACAGCAACCTCAGTTGTGGCTATGTCAAATCCTCCACCGCAACCTATACGTAAGTATTTACTATTATTATACTTATTGGGAAAATTAAATGCTTTTTTAAATAAGTCCGAAAAACCGGGAATAGTCAGATGGCTCGTAGGCACTCAAATGTTAATAATTTATATCTTCTTTGTTCTATCCAATATCTTAAATGTTATCAAAACTAAGCAGTTTGGCGGTAATTAAAATGTATGCTCTTAACTATGACTTAAAAGTAAACCTGTTTGTTTCAATATTAAAGTACTAATTATAAGAGATTTAGTTAGCCCTAAGTTTAAATCGTAATTAAAGTTATACTCTGTTAAAGCGGTGCTTTTGAAGTCTAAAAACTCCTATTATCTTTGTAGAAGCAGCTGCTCAGAACTTGGCCAATATACGTCGACCACCCATGCCGACTCCACCGCCGATGTACCACGAACAGAACATTAAGGAGTCGCCGCCAAGCTCGCCGGGTATATTCAAAAATATAATTTATATAAATTTAAACGTAGTACGTTTGCTGTGCAATCCCTAGATCCATAGGACCAATTTCTTAATTCTAAAGGAAGTGCATTCGTCGTGCAACGTCACCAAGAGGTATTAGAGCATTAGTCTCCAGATGCAATAAGTCGGCCATATTGCATTTTCATAGACCATTCGAAGACCACCTTGAAAAACTTATAATAACCGGGAAAATGGAGGGAAAGAGACCAAGGGCCCAACACTATGGAGCCGGTCACAAAACCTGAACACTAAAGTCTTAGACGCCATTTACGTAGCTGGAGATCGTCAGAGATGGAGGCAGTAGTGCAGAAATCCACAACGGGAGCATCACGACGCTACGCAGTGAGCAAGCGATCGTAGGAGTAACAACAATTTTCAATGAATGAATGAGTTCCTTGCCTCCAATGCGTAAAGACAGCATCTGTTTTTTACAAGTCGCGCGTTATCTTGAGCGCTGACTAATATGTCAAACTTCATACAGAAAAAATTGTTCGACAGCTCTTTTTATTAGATTTAAGTTTGACGTTCTAGTAAGGCTAATACTCGTAGTATTAGATATAGAATACTAAAAATCATAACATCATTTATAGGTATAATTTTATGAACTGCCCGTTCTCATATTGACGTAATATAATAAATGTACAAGTGTAAACGTAAATACGTGTACAAGACTGCTATGGTTACATTAATATAAACCACAGTGGTTTTCTAATGTAACATATTGTGATTATATTATACTATTTTGTAAAATAAAGAAATAAAAAAAAATAGGACAATGTAATTAGTGAGAACAACAACACGGAAACATTAAAATATTTCTTAAAATTATTTTCCTCGAATCGAACCTAAGTCCACGTGAACATCAGTCAAGATAATTTAATTTTATAAAAACATTATTTTGTTTGATCTTTATCACTCTCTAGCCATTTTGAAAATACCTAATCTTAAGGATCGTATTTCAGTTTTGTGTAAACAAGCGATTTATTCCAGGTGAAACCATGAATTTATAAAAATGCTATTACGCACAATTCAAATATGTTTTTTTTTGGAATTTCAGGTTCAGAAAGGCCACTGAAGCCAAAGTTTGAAAACAAGTGAGTAACAGTTTTGGCTTCTATATAATTGTTTTTGAAACATCTAAAAATAAAATTGTTATGTTGATTAAGATTGCTAACTTCTTCCTTTGAAGAATCCTTACTAAAGTTCCCTTACTTTGTCATTATGTCTTATTATATTTGAGCTTAGTAGATACATAATTTTATCAACTTTCCTTGTAACCTGTTACAAATATCCATCCAAGTTCTGGTGGAGAACTGAAACGGTTACGCAGATCATAAAGATCATAGGGAGATCTTAAACGGAATTGGTGACTACTCGCAAAAAACAGTTCGTGAGATCAGACATCATGCCTCCTGGATCTGAAATACTTTTCAGGCACATACTGTCAAAGCGATTCCGGAAGCTGGCACATGCAGTCTGTTCTACCCCTCAAAATTACGTTCAAGCAAACCGAAGTTCTCGTCAGAAGTCTCAGACAAAGTTTTCAAACTCATATTGCCAATATAATTATTTCAGAATGAGTGTGAGCTGTAGCGCTCCTCATATGCTTGGTAACGAGCTGAACCCCGAAAGCGGTGTTGCAGCGCGCTTGCAAGAGCAACTTAGCGCTGAGTTAGCCGCACACGCGGCTGGTACTACGGGACCAGAGCCTCTCATACCACCACCGCTCATTAATAAGGCTGCACCAGTGAGTAAAAAACGAATACACTAATTAATTTGGTGGCGGTTTTTATATGGATATGTTCAAATAAAACAGTTTGTTTAGCTGGGTAACAAGTTTAAAATATGATCTTATAATTTATATAAAATTAGAGGTAAATTACGGTGGGGTTGTGATGCTAACAAAAAACCAAGTTATGGTTTGGTTCACAAATCCAAATGACACTTGTTGGACATTATCGGAAATGAGAATGTTAATTTTGGGTTACATAACTAATCAAAAAAATTGTCAAGACGTCAAATAATAAGAATAAGTTGGAAATAAAAGGTTGTACAAGTAACTTACTTACTTAAGTAAGTAAAGTAACCAAACTCGAACTTCATTTTTTAAAATATTGGGTGTTTTTTCGCGCTAACCCGCAGTTTCAACATTGCTTCGGCTGTTGAAACTATCGAAGTACGAGCCTCGGTATCTTTATTGGAAGTTACAGCTTAAAACAGAATATAACTTTTTAAAAAAAACTATAAGCTGTATTTCAGATGGGTGGTGCAGGAAGAGGTACGTCGAGCGCCCAAAGCCTAGATCAGCTTCTAGAGCGACAATGGGAGCAGGGATCCCAATTTCTCATGGAACAGGCGCAGCACTTCGACAGTATGTCCTTAATGCTTGCGAAATTTATATCCATTTTTATACACATTATTTAGGCTACGTCTTCAACAGCTAATAATAATATTTCTGGCAACTAAAACATGTCTAAGGCAACCAGATAGTGATGGAAAGTGTCCTCCTACAAACAAATAAGACTTTTATTTTGAGATAAATTTATAATTGCTTTTGATTTTCTACTCATGATGCTGAGCCATTCCGCGATTGACCTTGTTTATTATGTTATTTTGAATTTACTAAGAGATTGTTTCTCTATGAATTAGAGCATGAAATGAAATGTGCAGATAGAGAAGTGGTGATAGAAACATATAGGCAAGTGTTATCTTTACGAATAATAATATAGAAATTAAATTAATGAATTATTTTTTAATTGTTTAAAATTTTTAAGATGTGACATCATTTTATTGTTTTTATGATTTTATGATATACGAGGGGAGGTCCAAAAGTTCGTGGAATGGAGGGGATGGAGTGGGGATAGGGGCGCTCGCTTAGTGTCATACTAATTGGGGACTCATAATTAGTATATAAATGGAGTTTCAGCCCTATTGCGTCATTCGTTTACGAACACTCGCCTGCTAAACACGTCAATCCGGAAGAAAACTGAAACTATGGAGAAAATTGAACACCGTGCTGTCATTAAATTCCTTACCAAGCAAGGAAAGAACGCTCAGACCATTTTGAATGAAATGGAAACTGTTTACGGGGAACAGTGCCCTAGTAAATCAATGATTTACAAATGGCATGGTCTTTTTAAACATGGTCGGGAGTCGATTGAAGACGACCCCCGCTCAGGAAGGCCAGTTGAGGCCACCACATCAGACATCGTCGAAAAAGTGGAAAAAATTGTACTGGAGGACACCCGTTTGAAGAAAAAACAGTTATCTGCATTAGTTGGAGTATCAGATACCACAATTTTGCGAATCCTACATGACCACCTGGGTATGACAAAAGTCAGTGCAAGATGGGTACCGAGAATGCTCACGCCGCTTCAAAAACAGCAGCGCGTCGAAGCGTCAAAACATTTTTTGGAGTTGTGTAGCGACGATCCTGGATCGATTTTGGAGCGAATTGTTACCGGCGATGAAACATGGGTTCATCACTTCGAGCATGAGTCCAAACAAGAGTCCATGCAATGGCATAAAAAGGGGACACCACCGCCAAAGAAATTCAAAGTGTCGGAGTCGGCTGGAAAGTTGATGGCTACTGTTTTTTTGGGATTGTGAGGGGATAATACTGATTGATTATAAAGAAAAGGGCAGGACCATAACCGGAGAATACTACGCAACAATACTAGAAAAATTAAAGGATGCCATCAAAGAAAAACGTCGGGGAAAATTGACCAAGGGTGTGTTGCTCTTGCAAGACAACGCGCCGGTTCACAAGAGCAAAGTTGCAATGGCTGCTCTACACACGCATGGCTTCGAATCACTAGTCCACCCACCCTATAGTCCAGATCTGGCCCCAAGTGATTTTTATTTGTTCCCCAATTTAAAAAAAGACTTAAGGGGAAGGAAATTTTCCGACGACAATGAGGTAAAGGAGGCAATTTTGGCTCATTTTGAGGGAAAAGATAAAAAATATTTTTACGATGGTTTAGAAAAATTAATTCATAGATCTAATAAATGTATTCAGCTTAAGGGTGATTATATTGAAAAGGAAAAATAAATTTACTGTTTCATTTTTACTAAAACCCTTTCATTCCACGAACTTTTGGACCTCCCCTCGTACATATACATGTACAAACTTAACCGTTTTGTTATATATTATATTTAAAATATATATTTAATATATTTTAAATTTCAAATTATCATTTACGAAATCACTTCAGAAATCGTGAGCAATATGTTTGAGATCTGAAAGGTTTAATTTTTGTATTGCTATTCGTAGATACAAAACCTAAAATTGGGCGTAATTAGATTAACATTGTTACTGATAAAATAATAATAAAATAATACAATGATAGAATTGGTATTGGTTTCGGCTTTGAATTCGGTGTACTTAATTATCGACGTTGAATGATCTGTGTAATGTTTATTAGTACAAATTATATTTTTAATTCTACTGGCATGTAAAATTTGTTATGTTAGAATATTCATCTCACAATTTTTTTTATTTCACGAATCTCTTGCATGTATTAAATATCGTGCATGAACTTTGTTAAATGTTAATCGTGTTGCGATCAAAGTTACCATACATCATCTTCCCGCTTGCAAAGTCTTTATCTTAGGGCGTGAAGCACGCGAATATAGTTTTTTTTAGAATTTCATCCGATTGCTGGACAAGGGCAGTGTCAAGCTTTGAACTGTCAGGTTTGACAGTTGAAAGTTTACATGGACTCTTACTTGAGAGTGGATTTAAATTTAACAGTTGCTTCGTTGCTGTCCTGTCTGCACCAACTCCGAACAGAGAATGTCCGTTTAGAAGAACACGTTGGCAATTTACTTCAGCGGCGTGATCACTTACTGGCTGTCAATGCTCGTCTTGCAATACCACTTACAGACGGTAGGAGTTTTTGTCATTTAGTTTAAAAGGGACTTTATATATTAGGTCATATCGATAGGTCAGTTACTAGTGGAAGACAACGTATTTGAGGTCTTGATTCTCGTACTTTAGCAACGACAGGACAAGTTAGTTATTTTTATTAAATAGGTGATATTGACGCAGTCCTATACATGTATCGCTTTACACACCTTTAATTGTTAGTAAATTTTTTAAGCCTTTTTATCACAATATTAAGTTTTCATTGCTTTTTAGCATCGCAGTCCTATTAATGTTAATTCAGGAGAATCGAAGGTCTTAAATGAATGAGGCCTGATTTATAAAGAGCCCTTTATTTTCACAAGAATTAAACCCGCTTTCACCTAAATGTTGTTAACCTTCAGCACCAATAACAATTCTTTTTAACCGACTTCAATACGAGGAGGTTATAAAGGAGGTTGTTGTTGACTTGTTGGTGTGAACTTAGTTTTATGTGGCTTTTAATATTATATGTTGTCGTATATGCTTTTACTAGTTTGCATTGTAAGATATATAAAATGTATCGTACAATGTTATGTACAAAGCCGTAACCAGAGACAGAAAACCCGTTTAAGACGATTTTTATGGTCAGAAACGCGTTTTAAGCGGGTAGCGTATTAATAATAAACATTTATTATTAAGACAGTATACATTTATTAATAATCACATAGAGGCTTTTTTTATTACTGCACCAAAGCCAATTCACAATTCATATGAATGAATGATAATTTTGACATAATATTTTTTTCCAATTTAGCCGTCAGTTCCAAAATAGTTTAGTATTGTATTGATTTACGAGAGTTTAGTAAGTCAAGTAGATAATGTTCAAGGTAAGTTTATTAGTTTCACACTACACCAATGCCCCATATTAATCTCCGCATTCGATTTTCTGCCAAATTTTTTCAAGTCAATTTTTAACGCATTCGTAGTATTTATTTTTTTAATCAAGTTTTTTTATTTCTCTCTAATACAGACCACAAACATATACATATATAATATGTTTTATCCATATTTTTTTATTTGGAACGAATATGCTCTATGGTAAATATTTTTTGGAGTTTAAGAATTCGACGTTTCAAGTACTTTTCGTGGTCTTCAGTAATGTTTAATAAAATGTGTAGTACGCGGAAAAAAATTCGTATAATTATCAACACTTTTGTTGTTTAGTAAAAGTTTTCGGACATGTGTGTTGTTTGGAGGCTCAAGCACGAATAATTAAAAACGCTAAACGATTAATTCATATTGTTCCATTACATTTAAATAATTTAATAGTGTCAGGCCCGCCAGAACCACAGCGGTGTCCTCGAGACATTTCATCGCAGGCCAAGTCCCAGCAGCCACCGACCAGGTCTGGTGAAGCTATGAATGCAGACAGGCACCAGGTATGACTAAATATCATTTTTAGTATAAATTAATTTTATACAGCAAAATCAAAAGAGAGGGTAAGGGAGCGTTCAAGTATTATGTAACGAATTGGGGGGGGGGGGGGGGTTTCATTTTGTAAAACGTTACGATGCGGGGCGGGGATTGAATTACGCGTTATTGTTAATATTATTTTCGACTTTCCAGTACAGCACATAACGGTAACTTTAAGGTATAAAGAGTCACTAGGTGGTCACGAAACGTTTTATTATAGCTGGGTACAGAAAAACGTTACGGCGCGTAACATGGGGGGGGGGTGTCAATAATCTCCAAAAATTGCGTGATACTTGAACGCTCCCTAAGTGTAAAGTGGAAATGATTGCGTAAAATGTTCCTGTTTAAATCTTGTCAACAGTATTGCTTAGACTTAGGACTTAGATTCAATAAAGTTAGCCATTTTTCCATGAATATAAATGAGACCCAAAACAAAGACGAGGCATAGAGTTAAAAATGGTATATGGTCTCAGGCTAAAACCCGTTGTGGTTATGGCACTTTAAATACATTTAGAGTTTTCATTTGTGTAATAAGTCACATAAAAATAAAGTCAATATCAAATTTCTTCGTATTATTGAACTTTCCAACAATCGCAAGAAATTTAAAACTCGATAATGGTTGTCTACTTTCGAATATACCTAAACTAAAAGAAAGTTTAGGGTCCTTTTGTAAAATTATTTTAATTATTTTATACCCCTTATAAAAATGTACTATATTATATTGTGTGACTTTAAAAATATATAAATGAAAAAATCTTTATTGTGGCGTATAGTACTTTACTAACTATATTACGAATAAGACGTAAATCTGATGTCTACAGGTCAAGTATTTTAATGACATAGTATTTGTTACTTTTTTTAGTTTTTGTAATATTTAAAGGTTTATTTATGATTGTTATTTTTCGTTTTCGGTTTTGTATTGTTTATATTGCTTACATCGTAATAACATCAATAGTATTAAGAATCGGATACTGTTTTACCTTTACCTTTAAATATTGTGTATAAACATTAAAATTTATCAAACAAATACAGTCAAACATTATACATTCGCAATTTTTGTTTTTTGTTATTAAATTAGAACAAAATTTACATCTATACATAATTTTATGACATGTATTTCACAACACCGTTTTGATATCCGATTCTTATTATATATAAGCTTTGGTGATTGGTGATGGCAATATATTACAAATACATGTTACATTGAGTTTTTTTTTATTTTTTTAGTCTCTTGCTATGGATCAAGTAAACAGATACTTTTGAGTGCGTTATGTAATGGCGCTTGTTTAACCTTAGCTGATAATGCGCGAGGTACAGCCAAAGCCGCCCAGCTGAAATGAACCGGGCGGCAGCGGAGTGCCACGCGAACCTGATCCGCTGCGGACCGTCCAGGCCTACATTCATATCGAACACCAACAGCGACGCCGGCCTGACTTTTCTATTGAATCCATACTCAAATACGACTAAATCGCGAGAAAATAGATTTTGTACAATGACCACGTTTACTACTTATTGGACTTTTCTTGTGTAAAGTTTTGGATAATTATTTTAATGGTGTGGACAGTCGTAATCATAAGACTGAAAGATTAAACGAAACAGGGTCTAAATTTATTTAGACTTTACGGGACGTTGTGTGCGGGAATATTTCAAAGAAGGAATAGGTTAAATATAATGTAATCGGAGTCAAATACGTAACTGAAACTTTAACTATCAGAATTTGATTTATAAATTTATAATTTGATTGATTTTGATTTATATATTATAATTATTAATTTCGATTGTAGAATTACATTGTGTAAGTGTTTTATAACTGTGCAATGATGAGATTTTGTATTGTATCTTATTCAATTTAATGTTGTTCAGGGAATTTTAGAATTTCATTGTATGAATCGATGTTTATGTCAATTTAATGTGTAATAGACATAATATATGCAAAATGTCGAATTCAGTGGCTGCTTTCTATGTCAAATTTAATAAACCATTTCATATACGGATGTTTTAATGTTAGTTTTAAGACTAGGAATTAGTTTTAGTATATAGGATAAATATTTTGATTTTACCTGTATACCCAAGTGACCTGCACATGTAAGGGTATTTCTTCAATTGGGGATGATTTTCAATATATATTATTGTATTTAAATTATGTCAATTGTATAATTTAGCGATTATGTCTTCAAAAAACTTTTTTTACCTGCTATAATTTAATCTTTATTATTAGTAATAATTATTACAGCTTCTGTTTAGATTTTCCTATGTTATAGTTAGAACTTTGAAGCGCTTTGAAGGGTTACATAATACTCACCTTTGCAGTTGTCACTTGGATAAAGCCCCTAGGGCTATGTACATAGTATTATCTATCAATGTATGTATATACATTGTTGTAAATAAGGTAAATGTGAAGCTTAATAATGTTTATTTAATTTGATAATGTTCGTGATGTTTTAAGTTATTTTAATTTTTGTGTTATAGTATGTCATTATACTGTGCGTATACAGTATTTTAATACTTAAATTGTATTAAGTTTTATTATGAAGAATTTTATTGGCTGACAATGCCATTTATTTATGGAATCATAATAATTGGTGTATCATAGAATTATAATAATATTTCCTACTAATGAAAACCTAAGATGTGTAGAATATGCACAAATTGTATGTTTCAATAATAATTATATCAATGGATCTTATTTTAGATTTTTCGGTGTCCATAGAATTTTGTGTCAGATAAATGTAATTGTTAGATGTTAAGATGTATTAATAAAGGCAAAAAATACATTCTAGTTTCTTATTTAAAAAATCCTTTATATTTCTTTCTAGCCACTAATTTTGCTAAATGAATTCTTTCGTTCTATAGATTTATTTTTATAACGTAAAAATTAATTAAGTATTATAAATTACTTATATGCTTACGAAATTGCATTATCAGAATTTCGATAACTGATAAATATTTCCACAGTTGTTATCATATTAAGTAACTTAAATAAATATGGTACTATCTTGTTGCTGTTTGAATTCTGGACCTTGAGCTTAGAATTGCGTAGATGATATTTAGATGCCTTAGATTTTTATTTGGGTGTTACTACAACATTCAGACATCGTTATGCCGAGCAAAATCTATTTAAGTGGAATGCGTTTTTATATTATACTGTTATATCTAACAGTTACTGTTATATCTAACATATTATGTTGAGCTTACACACCCACACATAATAAAAGTTAAGAGGGTGCCCAATAATGATCAATAAGACATTCGTAGACAGTCTGTATGTCTCATTCAGGTAACTGAAACAAACAAGAATATTATTTCCAATAACAAGATAATTAGTTATTAAATCCTTTGCTAATTAATGCGACTTAGGGTTTGCGACATTTTTACGCAATTGAAATTATCACAGATACTGATTACAGTGATGTTTATATTATTAGGTCCGTATAATAAATATAGCTGTTTCGCTGCTTCTGAAAAAGAGATATAATAAGGATCCCGTGCTAGTATGCTAAGAGACAAGGGACAGGCTGTATGCTTTTTCTAAGGTAACACAAAAAGGTTTAAGGTAACGCAATATTTGCATCGTAATCATCCGGTTATTAGTAAAAAGTAACAAGCACAATCTTTTAATAATTTAAAATCCCAAATAGAATCGCTTATAAACTGTTCACAGATCGATCAGAAACTTATAGCAAAAGCTATCTATATCATGTTACATGTTAATTGAAAATCAAATGATAGTTTGCTATTTGAAGTATGGAATTAATGTAGGAAATATCTGATTCGACGACTCACGCAGGTGCACGGAATGAACGTTTTGACGTCAGACGTCTATTACAATGTTTTCACTTGTATTAGCGAAATTAATTTTTAATCAATGAACCCTAATCAGATAGTTAAGACGCTATCAATAGAAAATAAATTAACAATTACACATTATCATTATTACCATTGTGTTAAGTAACTTTACACGATCCATCTCAGTTTCATTAAGATGTGTTCGTTATTTAAATGCGGAGTTACCTCCGCTGTTCTTGGCATTATATTAGTTATAGTGACTTGTATAGTGAGCTTCGTAGTTGTTCCTGGTGTAGTAGAGAGTATCATTATATCTGTAAGTATAGCTATGTATATGTGTTCCGTGTTGTTTTACTTAAATATATTACGAGCATAGCCTAGTGGTTAAGCGTGCGACTCTCAAACCCGGTTGTGCCTTCAAAACCGTAATTAACACATGCTTCTACGAAAGAAAACGTCGCGAGGAAACGGCATGTCGTAGTCCTTATAATCGACGATATGTTTGGACACCAACTACTTTTAATAAAAATTATATATATTGTTTAATAGTTATTAATAGATTCATTTATTAACAATAAGTATTACGTTATACAAGGTAATATAGAAAATTAAAAATGCATCACAAAATAAATATACACACTTAATAGTAACAAATGTACCGTACAATTAATGTTTATTACTTAATAGATTTCACGAGAATCTTTAGTAATCACTACTACATATACATTCATAATATTCTTATTTTAACATAACAATAGTACATCTTTACATCCCATTATTTTTGCTTGCTGTTTACGATTAATTAAAATACTTGTGGTAATTATTGCAGAATACTTTTTGTTTGTTTGTTACTTAAAACATTTTGATGTAGTAGAACCACGAGAAAGATATATTATTCCTTATTGAGATATTTGGTTGTGTAATGTAATAAAATTTAAACGGGTGCAAATATTCCCTATAGAAGAATTTCTGACATGATACAATTATTTCAGGAAGTAGCGTTACAAAATGGAACAGAAGCGATGGATAGATTTAAGGAAATACCGTTTCCATTGGATTTTAAAGTAAGACTCTTCAACATCACAAACCCTGATGAGGTTAGAGCTGGTGGTGTACCCGCAGTCACTGAGTTGGGCCCTTATATTTATAAGTAAGCTTTACTCACAGTAAATATCTTTGTTATTTAATATTTACATGTCTCTACTCAACGTCATAATATACTATATACTTAATAATTACCAAGGCACACCGCCTTGCCTTAACAAATAATATGAATAGTTATAATAAAATTGTTGGCAACACTTTTACTATATTTTAAATAGTAAAATATTTTTATTAGACAGTCTTATTAAAACTATATTTCAACTGTTGCGTGTATAACACTTTATCTAATAAAAAGAATGTGTTTAGTTACATAATGAAATAAATAATAGGTTATAGTAAATTCAGAAAATAATTTTTAAACTAATAAGTAAGAAAGTAATCAATTGCTTAAAAAATATAGAGTTTGTAACATTTTATTTGTAACAGGATGTATCATACGAGAGAAGTAGAAGAGTACGAAGCGGATATAATAAAATATCGGACTAGAAATATCTTCACGTTCAATGCTGAAGCCTCATACCCCAACACTGAGGACGACATTGTTACAGTTGTTAATGTTCCCTATCATGTAAGTTACATTACCATTTACTAAAAAGGAAATTCTCTATAATATTACGTTTCTCTAGGTGGCCAGTCTTTATTTGGGTTGGGGTACCATTTCCTCAATCTTCCTTTTTAGTTGGGTACAGAATTTTCCTCGGTGTTCCAATACCTTCTCTAATTCGGTTATCATCGTCCAAGTCTCGCGTGAATATTGTATTATGAATAACATACCCCCAATAATATTAAATACATAAGTAATTAATTATCTAACTAACGTACAGAAAAAAATTAAAAATGTGATTTCCATAACATTTTGACACTAACGGTTAAAATTAACTTAATTTACCTGTGTTGTCTATATCAAATTGTTAAAGCTTGTTCACTTAGTATTCCCCTATAGGAAATAACATACAGAGTCTCCTTTTCGTTAAAATACAATTTTGGTGTGTATTCGATAATTTGTATTTTATTTGCATTGCGATTTGATTTTAATATAACTTATAATGTGACTTAAGTAAAGTAGTGTTGGCCAAGTGGCTTAAGCCTGCGACTCTCAAGCCTGAGGTCGTGGGTGAGGAAAGATCATGACATCAACTCAATCGATGGCATGTATCAGATAAAGATGGCTGATGAAACAAACAGATGCAAAGGCCGTGATAGGGATTGGACTGGATTTAAGACAATTTTAATAAAGCGACATAACTTGCTAGTTTCTCAAAGTATAATAATTATAAAGGGCTGTTTATAAATCAGAATGCAACGCGAACATATATTTAATATCTGTACTGTAGTCAGGCGTTAATACGCTAAGCGAATTATATATTATTAAAAGTGAATATTTGTATTATCAATTTTATACGCTTCATAGAGATTGAATACGAGTCCAGTTTAACGATAAATTTCATATACATACAATTATTTCATGGTAATGAATTCTAAAACTTCGACCGTTTTACGGTAACACATTAAATTCATCGTTTTATATGAATAGTTAAATGCTTTCATATAAAAATCTAAAATCCATAAATATTCATCGTTTAACAATTTACCTTTTTAGATAGCTAATCATTTTATATTACAATATGAATTTGTTAATTTGCCTGTGTAACTTTTGATTCGAAAATCCGACAAACAATGAAGGGGATCAGAATTCAGTTGTACCTCGAACTTCATAGAATCAATATTGGCAGTCCAGTTTACCAGAAATAATCGGAAATTCTTACACCAAATTAAAATAAATAAATAATACTTCCTATGTATGGTTTGTATGCAACGGTTAACTTGTTTACGAGAGAGAATAAAATACTCATATAATTTCTTTATAATAATAATTTAATCGCATGCCAAGTCAATTTCTTTGTCATGTGTAAATGTAATAAGCCTATAAATTTTTTATCTCAAAACAATCTATGTTGTTTTCAATTAAATGTATGTACAATGAGATAATTACATAAAACAACTGCGTTTGATTTTACTTCGCGACGCCTTTGCTTATTCATTGAATCGTAAAATCCTGTTAACGCCCGAAGTCAAACTTAGGTTTAGTCTACGCTAACTTTATGCCAATAGAAGGAACTCAGTGACTTGATTATTTTATTAAAGACTATATTATTTGATCCTTACAATTCTAAGTTCTCAAACCGATCTTCCTAGCAGTTTTAGATTACATTAAAATGTTTTTGTCATTGTTAGATTTGGATCTAGCTACATAGATAAGTAAAAATATTAGTTTAACAAAAATAATGTTTTTGAAAGTTAGCTTGGCGACAAATTGGTATAGCTCTTCAACCGTCATACAATAGCACTCTGACTTAGTCTAAACGAAATTAATTTTGTGGAAACTGACTTTAATGGTAGGACACAACTACCTTGTCGATTTGATAATAAAACTTATAAAACCTTATCGATATTAAGTTGAATGCATTTTAAAATCCAAAACGTCATGAAAAATGATATCAAATATTGGGCTTTGTAGGCACTGGCCGTACCGCCTGCGGGCATTCAGTTATATTGCTCCGGGAATTAATATTGTGCATATCCTGTTGATAGAACGTCGGGTCAATCAGACTTTGGTTTTAATCAAATGTCGAAGTTGTCGTGATACTCTGATGTAAACAAAAAATTCATGCTGTGCGCGCAATTTTTTTAAAAACCCAGGCCTTATTGTAACATGTGGATTAATTGAGTTTCGTGTTTGATCCTATGTTTACGATGTTTCTATATAAAAATAGCAACGGCAGGTAGGTAATTTGGTCTACGTTTCATAATAAGGTCTCGGAGTTTATTGTATATATTCCTTTAGTTAATATATCATTTCATTGCGCAATATGACAACGAAAATATAATTAATATAATTACTTTACGGGTTTTAGTATAACACCAAACAGTATTAGTACTCAAACCTCGACCGCCTCGTTTTGAAATAGTTGAACTCAGCTTATATTATGACTTTGCATACATTTTGTTGAAATACTGTTGTATTCCTACAATATTAAAGTTGTATATAAAAACGTACTACGCTATTTAGGACACAATCTGTTCATTTTGTATTAAATTGATTCCTATGTATGTCCCTAATTGAGGTTTTAAACGTATGTCCCCTAATAAGCTAAATAATTGTATGTTTGCTTCTCGGCGTCCGTTGTCTTTAATCCTTTTGACAAACAAATATATGAATAACTTTAAAAATGTCTATTCATAGATAAGTAGTCATTATAAATTATAAAGTTTGTTCATAAGAAAGAATACAAATATAAAACCTTTCTTTTTAAACGTAACTATATACGAATTTATAACAATCGCATTGGTTTGTGTATTCACCGTGAAAATGTTTGGCTTAAATACCACAATTGTAATTTTGATTAAACGTATTTGTCCACCAAATATTGTAGGAATGGAATTTAATATCACCATAGGTGTTAATTGAAGCGAATATAATTTGATAAATATTCCTTTAAAATACTAACGTTACATCGTTAGTTTTATAAAAATGTATCAATCAGTAGTTCACTATTGATCAGATAGCTTTGCGCTAAGAATTAAAAAAAAATCAATAAGGCTATTAAAACTTTTGCGATTTGCTCCATAACAAATGAGACACGTTAATAATAGAAATTAAATATGGAAAACTTTTTAAAAAGGACAAGAATTTCTGACATGAGCGGATATCACTTAAAGCTATAAGTTGCTAAATACTTTAATACTCCCGTAACAAAATATTTGAAGCATGAAATACAGCCGAAGTGTTAGTGACTGAGCGGCTACCTCCCCATTCCTGGCGCCAGTTCTCTGATGTGGCCCACTCGCCCTTTGTTCGCCCACTAGGTAGGTAGGTGGGCGGCGGCGTCCTCTCATTATTTTGCAGAAATATTCCACCTATTGTTGGAGCATACAGGCTTCACAAATAGCCTTTACATCTAACACCGTGCCTTTTGCGTTATAACGAGTTCTGAAGTCTCGTCTGAATTCTCATTTATATATTTTTAATTTTTATTAGCTTTTCCCTGCGATTTCGTTTGAATATTTTCGCATGAAATATTTTGAGCGAGTTCTGTCACTTATCAATATGCAATACGTTTCAAGGGATTTAAATGAAACATTGTAAAAAGTTATTCGTTCATGAAATGCAGACTTCTTTTTATGGTATTTAATTTGAAAGGGCTAAATAATTTAAACTTACAGCTTCTCAATATAGACATTATTAAAGTAAATACGAAATTATGGCACATTTCGTTCGGCTATGATTAGTTTCAACATCATCTCTCACAAACGAGCGTGACATATACTTTATGTGTAAAGCATGAATGGTCGACTGCAAATTCAATGGTAGTCCCATAATTGGAATTTGGCGGGGCTCACCACCCTAATGCTTCGTAGAATATTATTTTAACATAATCAACTTTACATCTCTGATTCGTTGGTGATTTTTGTATGGGGCAAATTCCTAAACTATTATTGTTTCACTGGAAATAAAAGATGTAACGCAGTTTAATTAATTTAATAAAATAGGTTAATTAATTTTTAAATCTATTCTTTTAACATCTATAATGAAATGTTGAAAAATACTTTTATCTTAATCACATTCCATTGCCATTTTAACCATTGTGATAGTGATTCGATATCTAGAGATAGTAGTGAAATTTATCAATTTAGTATTAAGCGTATTATGTCGTAATTAGGTCGAGTAATAATGCTGGTTGTTGTAATGAAATATCGATTATACTTAGTCCTAGTAATTATATGCTCACGCGACTTTGTTTTGAAATATTAAACACTAATGAACATCACACAAATTTAGCCACTCTAAATTTTCAATTTACCCGCTCAAGCTTTCCGACACTCTTTTAAATCGCCAAAATTTTTGTCTTACTAAACGATCGTATGCATCTGCATCCGTCATTCTTTAATCGACATGTCATAAAATAATTCACGATAATAAAAACCTTAGGCGAATTGTGCCTTCGTTAAAAAAACATGGCAACCGACGCCGAGTCTGTAGCAAACACTTGTTGAATGTTTCTCGTTACATAAAACGTTTAACTATAATAACGCACCACTTATCGTTGGTTACCCTCATAACCACCCATATCCCTCGCATAGGACAGAGTTAAATTTATATTATAACTACATGCCAAAAATATAATTCTTGTTTCCTTTGAGTTTGTATTTTGTGAAATATGATGTATAAATTTCATGTTCTTTGAATTCTAAGGGAAACATATTTCATTTTACATTTCTCAGATCATGTTGAAGGACTGCTTTATGATATTGCAACAGCGAATTTTTATTTAAAATCATTTCTATATATACCATTTCACGATTGAACTGGCACAAAAGAGTCTTCAGAAAGTATTTTATTTAAAGTATAGTTACATAAATCTAAATAAGGAATATCAAATAAGTAGTTGTTGCCCACGCGATCGCACATACGCTGCTAAAATATAGCTGTTTACCAGAGAAAGAGTAATAAAAAATGGTTCAGTATTTCAACATATTACTTAGAAAGAACGGATTCCTGGTTAGCCAGAGAAAATCTAATCTAATTGAATTACTTTTAATTGCACCAATTACGAATAATTTATTGCATCATTATGATTCTACGTTTCTAGCACTTTATTAATATATTTTTTATTAATTTTTCGTAAAGCAAATAAAATTTTATCTATTTACTATTTAAACTTTTCATCCGCCTTTTTCTCTCAAATTGTATTTATACTTTGTTGATAAAAGTTTAGTTTAAATAGTCAAATTATGATTTTGGATTAGTGATACGTTATTTTAATATTTATTTCAGGGAATCCTACAAATGGCTGAAACACGCTTTCCAGCACTGATGGGACCTTTAAGTCTTGGATTAGATGGAATCTTTGGGGCAAATAATGGTCCAATTATGACTGTTCGAGTCGGTGACTTTTTGTTTGATGGAATTCCGATTTGTAAGAATCCAGGAATCATTGGAGGCGTAGCTTGTAGCCAAATTAAAGCTATAGGCGCTAATGTAAAGAATTTAGTTGAAGCAGAAGACGGTTCGCTTATTTTTACTATCCTTGACTATGTAAGTATTCTATAATTAGTTAAAATCTATTTATATATATTAACTTAGATGACCAATCTGCCAATCCAACCCTGAGGTCATACTGTTTTCCAATCGATTTTTCTTCCTTTGAACGCAATTAATATTTACTTTACTACGATGAAGAGAGCTGCGTTAGCTGAGGTCTACAGCGTGCGACTTTAATGTGTGCCAAGACCAGGGGTAGTAGAACCTGTTTTTTACAATGTGTAAACATTGTGCATACAAAACGTTCACTTTATTTTTTTATCGTACTTCCCTTTAGTTCCATGCCATTATTAAAAATTATTTATTGACATTCAATGTTGCGATTTTTATATACTAAGTCATTCTTTATTAAAAGTACTCAAATGTTAAAGTATCATTCATTAACTAATTGCGTCTCTTAGTATATCAATATATATTAAAATGAATATAGAATTAAAATGCATTAAAAGAAAACCCCGATTGTTGCTAACACTCACAATTTCCATATTACTAAAATATACCTTGGTTCAATAACCAGAAGTATTTGTACAGTACTTACGACGATATTAGGCGTTTGTTTTAATAGAATAATGCGAAATATATAAATGAATTCATGAATTTACCAATTAGAAACTTCAAAATGAAAAAAGCATGTCGATATTCAGTCTACAATATTTATAACCAAACGCTTTGTAACTGGTAAATTCCTTTGCAGTCCAGATGTAAGCCCCGAGCGTTTTTAATTATCTGTGCAGTTCAGTACGCATTGATCAATAACCGACCATCTACTATTGACCTTCAGTTATTTTCCAGCAAAAGTTTTCATTTCAAACTGCGCAATTCCTTTTCATGAATATTCTATATTCTATATATATATATCTTAATATATATATTTCTTCTGTGCGTGTGTATGTGACTGAACTCCTCTCAAACGACTGGACCGATTTTGATGAAATTTTTTGTGTGTGTTCAAGGGGATCTGGGAATGGTTTAGATTCACAAATCAGCCCGGCAGATGGCACTGCAGTCGGAACTTTCATACTTTGCTTAATATCCTAATCGCTTTAAATATCATGCAGGACAACGTCTGTGGGGTCCACTAGTATATATATTGATTCCCGTCCATGACCTTTATCTTGTCTCAAGTAGGTACACAATAGATTAATTATACATATACATAAACGCTTGGACAAATAGTATGTATTAACAATACCTAATACGGAGAGAGAAAATTCAAAGAATAGAGATTATAATACAGTGTAAACTCTTTATAACGAATTTCAGTGACCGAGCATTTTTTTTCGTTATAGGGAGTATAATAAATAAAAAACCAAATTTAATCAATTACAATAATTTATAATTTTATTACTATCAATAGGTAAATTATTCTAAACACATAACGCTTTTCTTTTACTGGCACATCTTGACAAAGCTTGTTTACCACTGATAATACACGATAGCTGACGGTGGTGCGTTTAGTAACTGAGACCAACATTTCCTACAGGCAATGTAATCTAACAATAATGGCACACGTGTTAATGCAATTAACAATAACAAAGGCGAGACGGCTGTTTATGACGTCAAGTGTCTTGTTGTCTCGTTCTTAAAAATTTCGGCACCTCAAAAGTTTAGTTTTGTAAGCTGATTATAAAAACAATTACACTTAAGTATGTTGATGTCTCAATATTAAAATATTTCTTCGTTATAGACAATGGATGTTGCGTTATAAGGAGAGAATTAATGTATGTGTTTTAAACGTTTAGACGTCGAACCCGTACTAAAAGCATCGTATAAAACAAAGTATGAGCAATTGAGATAGATATGAGTTTAGCAGCAGTATTTTTTTGTTAACAGAAAAATGACAGCCCCAGCGAGTTGTACGAGGTTTACAGGGGCATCGACGATGCGAGCAGACTTGGTATCATGAATTTATTCAATGGCTCGAAATACATTGATAATTGGGTGACAGACATAGATGAGAATGGGGAGACTGTACCCGGAATCTGTAATATGGTCAACGGATCCGATTCGGCGATATATCCACCATTTGTCGATAGAGATAAACCTCTTTTCGCCCTTAACACGGATGTCTGTCGGTGAGATTATATTAACAATTTACAAATATTTTTAATTAATAAATGTTATATTTAGAGGAATTGCTATTTCGAACAATCTAGAAACTTTTACGTTATAGATTTTATAAGGCCCAAGATTTAAGGATGAGATTTCTTTCACTGCATTTAAATATATTAAGATAGTGCGGTTCCAACTGAAGCAAAAAGGAAACGTAATATTCTCTACACTTACCTGTACTATTTTGATTTATTCGAAGGTCCGTCCAATTAAAATATCAGCGTGACACGGAGTATGAAGGCATCCCAGTGGCGAGGTTCACGGTTAACGAATGGTTTTTAGACAACCACGAAGGCTGTTTTTGTCTCAACGTGACAAGAGGGATCACACAAGAGAATGGTTGCTTATTAAAAGGCGCAATGGAGCTATACAGCTGTGTCGGTAAGTATGTTTTTATATTAAGCTAAGAACAACTATTCATATCGTAACTATATATTCTCCTTTCCGACGAAAGCGTTTTGGTCAAAGCTCACCGATGCCCAGATTGAGCATTCTGATAAACGAGATAGGTCTCGATATCCATAGTGCACCCCATGCACCCCTCAAACTTTAAAATCAATTTTCGTTTAGTTTTTGTAATTTTAATTGTTTAGTTTAATATTTGTATTATCTCTTCGTGTATGTCATGTTTGCCTATAATTGCTTGTCACATTAAAAATTGTATATTGTGGTTCTTTTACCAATGTATCAGTGTGCCGAGCGATGCAATGGCAAGATTTTATCAATAAAAGAATGTAACTAATGCGTAGGATAGACAAAAACTCTTTGCCATACGATCGATGTACAGTTTTCGCTCGACGTTGTATGAATTGAATACATATTGGTTCGATTGCAATTTTATGTTAAATTTACAATGTTAGGTTCGCGTGTTAAAAAAACAAGAAACCGCGGTGTATGATGCTTTTGCTATATTACTTTATTTTCATTAACCTATACTCCATTTTTTTTACAACTTTCACTCAAATTTCCGGATATTCTTTGTTGTCGTGGTGCAAATATTTCATATATGTATTTACATATTTACTACATAAATTGGTATATTAATAACATATGAATAGAATGATTTTTTATTGGACTGAAGTCGAACCATCACATAATATTTATCTATTTTATTCATGGTTGCGAATCTTTATTTTTTTTATTTTTAAATCATTTATTCCTAGAAATTTAAAACTATTTTCATTAATTTAAAATTTCGTAATCTAAGGACAGTAAATGTATACTTGCCTGGCTACGTAGGGGGACCTACAGTTGTTAGTTGATAGAGTTCATATTATGTGATTAATAACTTAACAGTATAGACTAAACCTTGATCAAAATCGACATATATTGGTATATATACGGTTATGAATAACAGAAAATACATTTGACAGCAAATAAGCCTATCGTAGTTACCTGTAATCGATCCTAGATGATAAGGTACCATTGTTATTCGTAGAGCGTAATGGTATTTGTTCTTCAGACAACGCTCGAATTTTATTATGTACAATAAAATATACAGTCCATTACGTTTTTATAAAGATGGTGTAGAGTCAATGCTTTAACTTCAAGTCAAACTTTGTGGCAGATCGGTTTGACTGATACTCTACTTTTAAGAACTATGTTATGTGCCAATTATGCCATAAAAGTGTGTTATGGGTTTCAGATAACGTATCAATGAGAAGGTTATCTGCTCTCTGTGCTTTATTTTTGGTTTTAGATACGCCAATTAACGTCACTATATTTATCTTTAATTTACAAGAAAATGCTAATCTAATGTGTACACATGTGTGTTCAGAATTGGTAAACCGCTGTAATTGTAATTTAAATATGAAGATGAAAGTAATTATTTTTCCCGATATCGTGTAATTAAAAAACATAGTATAGAGCAAAAAACATATCAATAGTAATTGTTATACGGGTATTGATATTACAATATTCATTACATAAAAGTGGGAACTCCGCTTGTTATTCTATGCGAATAACGGTTCTAAACTAAATTGAATTTGAACGATATCACAATTTATAATACAGTTATATTTAAGCTAACTTTAATCAGTATCTTTTGAGTATATCTTTAGGGTTAGGTATTTTTCAATTTATAGGTTTCAAGCTATAAAATGCTACTGTAAATATATAATCAAAATGTAAGCTGGACTAGCGAACATATAGGTGACCAGTGTGTGCCATCGAACTTCAAACTATATTATAGTATTAAACCTCAGAGGCGTACAAGAATGTATACAATTGTATGGTTAATATACAATAAACGGCAACGTATAATGTAAACAAAAGATATAATAAAGCAGAAGTAAATTCATGATGCATGGTATGCATGCATGCATGGTCCCAACATATGGTTCCGATACATCAATAAAATATAGGTTGATGATGCATTTTAGTTTTCATAAATCAATAAACAATTTATTATAGTTTTGAAAAATATGTTTCACAATACAATATCCTTTTTATAAATTAATTTACGAGCTTATCGGCTGAAAATTATAATCAATTTTATATTGTTGGGTACCAGAGAAAATTTATTTTAATAATCGTAAAAATTTGCTGTAATTTTAATAATACACAAACACAATTTGTGTTCGAAAATCACAGAAGAAAACTTTTAATATGTACCTACCTAGGCTCAATCTTATGCGTAATAATAATTCGCGTTTTAATCGAGCTACAGTGTTCTTCTAAATACAAATTCTTAATAATAAAATGTACACTGGTTCCTAAACTTAAAAGCAATCTACTAGCGTTGAACTCTACAAAGATGATTTATCAAAATTAAGAGTAATTGAAACTACGTTACGGATCATAAATCCATATCCTTTTTTGCATTTTAAACTTACAAATTCGTCAACGAACATAATCAAGAAAGTTTGTTCTACCCACTATGAGATCCACCGTGGTCGTCACACATCCGTTAGTTTAAAAGCTATAAAAAAAACATTAATCGTAATTCAGTACCCTAGATGCAGATGAATGTATTTATCAATGTCCTAAAATTCGAATAATTTAAATGACATGCAGTTCAGAATACGGTAAACATGGGGGCCGGTCATGGATTAGGAGCGGGCGCGCGGCGGGAGGCCACTGGTAAAAAAGCGCGCACGCGTTTACGCTACGCAAACGTAAATTGAAATGTTTGGCGTCGCGTTGTTGACGAGCACGCTTCTTGCGTTCACGGAATCACGTATTTACGATAGCTGCGAACTCGCCCGTGATTTTCTTAAACTTGGCGTTAGCAAAGAGCATATCGCGACGTGGGTGTGCATCGCTTATCACGAATCGCGATTTGACACTACCGCTCGTAACCCCAATAGCGGTGATCATGGATTGCTACAAATCAGTGAATTATATTGGTGCGGTCCTGGCAAGGCATGTGGTGTCTCCTGTTCAGCGTTCAGGGATGATGATATTTCCGATGACGTAGAATGTGCATTAAAAATACACGAAGAGCATACAAGATTACAAGGTGACGGCTTTTTAGCCTGGGTAGTTTATCCTCATTATTGCAAACACAATGCCAAGAAATATCTTGCGAACTGTGATGTTTTTTTAAAAGATACGTCGTATAAATTAGAAGAACGTGGACGTTTTTTAAAATCACAATATCATGGGCGCATGGAGCCTACTCCATTTTTTAAGAAATATACAAATATTGACGAACTGCAGCCACCGAATATTCCAATTAATACGCTTTTACGGGGCATCTATAACGACAATGAGGAAGATACTAAATTTACAAATATTATAAAAGAAAAGAATACCAGAAATTTTATGACTCGGAGCCAAAATATTAATAAAAATCCACAATTCGACTGGGTAAATACAATATCAACTATATCCAATAAAGACACTTCAAATGTAAAAATTACTAATATAGATGACCTTATGCCTCCTGTTTTTGGTACAGGAGTTTTGACAATGCCATTGACAACTACCACTATTCGCACTACCACTATAGATCCTGCTTTAATAGGAATAAAACCTCCCAATCCCCGAAAAATAGAAACTAATCAGTTTAGACGACGAATGATGTCTTTAAAAAACAATTACATACAAAATAGTAGTGTAAAACTTTATAACTTTACAAAGCTTAGCCTTCCAGCAGAAGTGAGAAATACTTCTAGTGTCAGAACTTTACCTAAATCTGATGACCACCAAAAAGGAGAAGTAAATGTAGTTTCGTCATTTAAAATAATCCATACAGATAACAAAAAAGAGGTAAATTATAACAATTCACTCACATCCAGTCGATTTACAGGACCTCAAATAAATGGTAATTTGTCAACAAGTTACGTAACTCCAAAAGAAATGGTTGTGTCGACAACAACTGGTAACAAGTTACAAGTAAACAATCAGACCAAAAAGATATCAAATAATATAACAACAAACAACATAACTTCGTTCAGACACACCGATTTAGTGAAGCCGATCGATACGACTGAAAAATACAAGAGCACAGAGATGCCTACAACTACTGAATTCAATAGAAGGAGATTTTATTTTACACCACCTCAGGTGGAAAAAACTACTCAATATCCACGTACATTAGGACCTTGGATGTCAAGATCAACCCATGTCACGTCAAGATCATCACAAACTGACAGTTCCACGTTGAGACCAAAAATATCATTACCGAAACTTAAAAGTACGAGCTTAAGCTCAACAAGTATTTCGGTTACAGAAAGAACTGTTAGAACAACACAATCAATATTTGACTTTTATTTGAATCCAACAAAGCGACCGAATATAATATTTCAATTCCCAGAATTCCCAGAGAGTCCATATAAAGTAAGAATATTTTCCGGAGGAACTACAACACTGTCGCCTTCTTTTTTAAATTCTCGACACCCATAGTCCTTATTAACATATTATTATTAAGTAATCAACACTGCCATATTACAATTTAATGGATGCTAATAAATTCCTAGAATAATACCAAAAATGTTTACGTTTTATTCCTAATAACTTAATAAATATGTTATTGTGACATGATATGTCTAGCTAATTCCGTTTTATCATATTTCACCATATTTTTTGTAAAACAATTATTTTATATACATTTGCAATGGAAAATGCTTTGCGAAACTTCTAACATGACTAACATGCGGTTTAATAATTATCTAATACTTTTATATTATTTTGCATGTTTTTATGTCCTTCAGGGACATACACTGGTGGCCTGATATATAAAAAATACTTCTGTTTGAGTCCAGTCAAGCATGTATGCACAACACCTATGCATACATCACGTATTACCGCATCGTAAAATATAATAACTAAGATCGCTTGTTATATAATATTAAGTTTGAAGTGTGGCAAAAAATGGCTTCTCCCGGAGATGGTTGTATAGCGTTAATGGTAGAAATTTACTAAATTAAGTTACTTTGTTTTAACGGCTACAAATATCGTATTTAATTTATGTAAAATAAAAATATTTTATCAAAAATTCTCTTCACCATATTAAATCGGATATGTAAAACTAATACGTAATAATATTATGTTGATATTTATTTTAAACTCGACCTTGCATCGAACTCTGACCTTTTGGATTTCTAAATTACAAATTCTGAATCATTAATTAACCTGATATGAGTAACTATTAGCAGGTGTATTAATTCACGCCAAGAACTTATTTAAAATAACATAAAAAATATTATTAAAACAATTTTTTTTCCTAAACCATCCATTATTTTCGACACTGTACTAACTTGAAAATACAGTTCGTAAACATAATGAAAAAATATATAAAAACGAAGTTTTGCGAACCGTCTGGCAGTATTAGTATCCATGGGTCATCACTCAACATCAGGGTAGCCTCTTGCCCGTTTACCCTGTTCTATAAACAAAAGGAAACATATTACTAGAAATTTATCTTATATTTAGCATTTGACATTTTAGTAATTAATATATACAATTATTTAATTATATTCTTTCCTAGATCGGAGTTTTAATGTTATTCATTATTATTCATATTGAATCTTCGGAAAGCGATAACAGCTTGTCCTACCGGTTGTTTAAGGCCATCTCTTGACCGACTACGACCGATTTGTATGAGCCATAATTATTGAAGCCTTATATGACCATTACATTCGTCAGTCGTTTAATTTTTTTCTGCAAATTTTAATGCATGAGTGATTCGGGCTCCCGAAGGTCTTGAATAAGTTTGAGTTTAGGTTAAGGCAAAGCCTAGTTTTTGCACCATATCTGACTGAAGGAAACATTCATTTTACAATTCCTTAGGAGTCCTTTACTCGACTTTATCCTGACTGTATTTTCTTTTTATTACCTACAGCGCCACATACACCTACAGCATTCAAAGTTGACTGGGCGTGTTATATGTTTTTTTAACTGTTATTGCTCTATCGCTAACAAAATACAATACGTTCATGTTTATTGGTAAACATAACATTTACACCTTGAAGCCATTTAATGCAAAATTTATTATATGGTATTTTTACTACTAATCATCTCATTATCACTCGGATCTTTATTATTTTGCGTTAATTGTGCGTTAGATAAGTTTTTAAATATATAATAGTATATTTAAGTTAGTTAATGCCCTATAACCCCTAGATGGGGCTCTGGCCCTCCACAGTGAGTCTCCATCGCGTTCGGTTTTGAGCCTCGTATTTCACTTCGCTCCCACGTGTTTTCGGCTATACTTACTTCAACTGCAACTGTTATAGTATATAATTATATATATTTACCCATAGAAAATTTTAGGTTACAAAAAAAAAATTAAACTATAAGGTAACTGCTTTTACCACCGGGTGAGGCCGAAAATTTCTTTCTAGTATTTGATGGAGTTTGAAACCTCTGTGCCACAGATGAGCACGTAACTCTATTTATCCTGCTCTCTTGATATAGCGATCGTGTCGGACATGTCCCATCATCGAATGAGAGTAATTGAATAAAGAGTGCGCTTGCACCTGCGCACACACTTATGCACTTGTATATGGCAAATTTCAAAACAGATACGCTGCCGTGACCGAGTCGGACTGGAGTTCTCCTTGATTATATAATGTTTTATTATCAATGCAAATAAAAATTACTAACGCATTAAACGTGTATTTAATCATAAACCTGTATGATAAAAATAAAACTCAAATGTACCTTATATTAAGTTGTATGAGCGTGCGATTGTCAACCTATGGCTGTAAGGTTCATACTCTGGTTGTAAGCCAATGGATGTTTCTTTCCATGTGCGCAATTACAAGTCGTATTGTGAATAAACCGGTATGTCTTTGTCCCAAAAACACAAGAACAGCTTTTTGATAAACTTCACGCCTCAGCCGCTGTTAGATTTGACTCCGCCTACGTAGTCTGTCGCGTCTTCGTCATCTTAATGATAATTATCCATCGTAGCCGCCCTGCCGCATCTTAATTAAATATTGTTGACAGTTTATGTCACACAAGAGCAAACTTTGCTAATAAAATATTAAATCCAAATGGGCGGCATATTTTGGAAACATAGTAAATATGAGTGGTTATTTGATAATGTTGCGGCCGACGCCTACCGTCATGTTTGGTGCAGCTTAATTACACTGGAACGAACTTCACCAAATGAAGCTTTTTGAATTTTGCAGGATAAAAAAGAATGTAGATAATGATATTTTCTAAAGTTTAATTAATTTCATTTTAATTACAAATTACTTCTACCAGGGGTGATTTTAAGTAACGGCTTTGATCATGACGAAGTACCTTAAAACGAAATATTGTTTAAGTTGAATCATGACTAACTTGGGGACTATTGGGTAAATATACAATAAGCCATTGTATTTGTTTGTTCTATATTATCTATGTTTTAGATTTTGATGTGGGTTTCCTCACTGGTATGACTTGGTGGTTAGGTTGATATCAAAATAGAGAATAAAATTTATACACATAAAACTTTTATCTTGTTTTTGCGTTATTTCGTAGCGGATTTTTTGTTGACCTGTGACGCAACATATCTATTTACAAATTTTGTGACGTAACTAGTGACATTATAATTTAAGTGCTTACATAACACATAGTTCACAGTTTTCTTGTTCCTGGAATTGATGTCGAGGTGATAAAAGTGAGACAACCGGAAATTGGCTGTGTTATTAGTAGAGAATAAGGAAAACACACAGCATTAGGAACGTGACTAAGTTTTTAAGGCTTGTGAAAAGGACCTTTTAAGGTTAAGAATGGAACATACTAATAATAAATCAGTCTTATGATTTTAAAGGAGGATAATTTATAAATTATTAGTCTAGAAGAAACTAGTTGGTTTAACAGAACCAGCCCAAGAGTAAAGGAAATACAAATGTGGACAACAATTCGCACATATACACACGATAACACACATAAAGCACATAAGACACAAAAGTTTGAAAATTAGTTGCTCGAAACAACACCATGACAAATCCATAGTGTTAATTTACCGCAACTATGGCTTTGTGATGAATATTTACAAAGTCATGGATTCGATTCCCAATGAAAAAATTCTGGCCTATGTGAATGGGAGATGAAGAATTATGCCTATTGGAAGGTAACCGATTGACAATTAAGATTTAAATTATCATAAATTTTTGATATAATAATATATAATCTTTGCAGCCTTACCTTACTTGTATTGTCAGAGTAGCATATATAAAATTTGTAAAACTATATTTTTTTAACAGTATTTCCATAATTTTAGACCCATCTACAAAGTATAAAAACCTTATCGGCCTCGAAGTGACCCTGTGTCCTAGGGTCAAGCACGAGCTTTTAAGTGTCAGACAAAATATGCCTTTGTCTGATGTAAAGGTGCGATTTTTGCTATATTATGTTACCCGCGACCTCGTCTGCGTTGGGCTGAATACTTGATATTCTCAAATCCCCTATACCTCAACACCTATATTCATTTTACCAAAATCCGCTCTACAATAGCCTTGCTACAGCAGGTCTTGCCTTCTGTAACCATTACACGAACTTTTTTCCGAGATTTGCGCAAGAAAAGCTCTTAATAAATTACTATTTTGGAACCCATTGTGTCTAAACCACACAAGTAATTGAATTAATTTTAATACATTATTTGAAATCATAACACCTTAACAGAACATGGGGGAGGCATGTTTCTGCGTCTATTTCAATGATAAATAAATCTTTACTGAGTACCAAACCGAAACATTTGTGTTAACAGAAATCGAATTAAATCAGTAATCATAATAAATTATTAATTTCATACATTGTAGTATGAAAAAAATATAAGTACTTGCGTACTCATACTATAAATTATGGAAATAGTACATTTATGTAAGTTATTTTATATTCTGCTATTATTGCTATATCTGCTATATGTTATTTTATATTCTATTTTATAGTCTGCAAACAACAATACATCTACCATTTGTCCGGAATAAACTTACTTTCTCTATTCATCGGAAATATTATTTTGTTTAAAGTATTTACATGACATAGTACATATACAAGTTCTTGGTGATTCTACTTTATAGAAAACTATTTTTACTAAACTATTTAGTACTCAGTACTTAATAGTAGGATTGTTACTATAGTACTACTATAGTTATAATATTTTACTACGCTTTAATATGTATAAATTATAAGCACACTAAATAATTTTTAGTAAATAAATTTGGAATCAGAATCAGAGCAAACAACATTTATAATATGACAAATTGTCGTCTCAATTTGTCACAAATACTTTATCTATGCGTAATCAATACCTACATTTAAACAAAAATTAGATAAACACACATCGCAATCAATGTTCAAGGTTGTAATGTTAATGTCAAGGAACAAAATTATGAACATATAAAGCAAAAGTGTTAACATTTTTAAACACAATATTATATACATGTAGGTACGATATGGTGTGCTGTCACGACATGGTCCCTTGATGGCGAGCTTCTGTAACAAGGACTGGGTTCGTTAAACACACCAATAGAAGGCTAGTAAATAGAGTAAACGACTCGTCCAAAGGTAGAGACGCTCTTTACCTTAGTAGAATGTAAAACTATTCATCAAATGCTTTAAGACGAAATAAAACATAAAAATAGCGCCGTCAAGACAACTTCTAAGACTGTTATCTCGCTCTCTCTCGATCTACAAGGCTATTCAGAATTTGAGAACCTTTCTACTTTCAGAAGCTATGTTTACTTGATGTCGACATGACGTGTTTTGCCAAGAAATTATAATATGTAACACTGAAAATGTTTAGAAAATGAACAACGGCTTAATGTAGAAAGTTGGCAATACTTTTATTGTTTTTCGAAGTAATCTCCGTTCCTCTCTACACATCGTCGCATTCGATGGAACCATTGAAAAAGCAGTGGGCCCATTCTTCCTTAGGGGTCTCTTCTATGGCATTTTCGTACGCTTTAACCGCATCTTCAGGGCTCGTAAAGCGAATACCTCGAATTTTATCGTCAGGACTGTATGGTGGATGACTCATTATTTCGACACTTTCCATAGTCAGATATTCAACAGTCCGTTTTGCAGAGTGCACTGAAGCATTGTGATGGTGTAGGAGGATCCTGCTTCGAGGGCGCTGCTGTCGAATTTTTTCCAAGACAACAGGCAAACAGCGATTGACATACCAATTTGCAGTATCTGTCCTTCCATCTTCTAGCACAACTGTCGCAAAATGACCTTTCTGTCCAAAGAATGAGGCAATCATCTTTTTTCCTTGACTTCTTCCTTTCTTTACCTTAGTTGGCCGATCCTCGAAAGGAAACACCCACTGAGCTGATTGTCTTTTGGTTCGTAGCAGTATATCCAGCTTTCATCACCTATAACGATGTCAAATACAGCATTTGAGTCACCGCCGTTGAACTTATCTAACATTTGGCGACACAAGTCCATGCGAAGGTGTTTCTGGTCGTCGGTCAAAGTATGGGGAATCCATCTGGTACAAAGCTTCCTGACGCCTAAATGATCGTGTAATATTTTTTGAACTTGACTCATACTAATGCCTAGGCTTGCCCGTATCTGCTGATAGGTCACTCTCTTATCTTCCTCTATCATGCGTCGCACAGCACTGATGTTATCTTCAATAGTCGCTGTTAAAGGACGTCCCTCACGCGGATCATCATTGAGATTGGTACGTCCACGCTTAGACTCGTATCAATTATAAACAGTGGCACGAGATGGGGCTTCATTAAGAAATGCTAATCGCAGCCAATCATGGCTTTGTTGTTGAGTAGGCCCACAACGAAAGTCATAATAAATCATTGAAGGAAAATTTTCTCGCGTTAGGTTCATTTTGCACGTGTAACAAGAATTTTAGATTTGCCGCGAATTCACAAAAACAAATGACGAATGAATGCAATATACTAGAGTAGAAAGAGTTCTAAAATGGAAATTCAAAAAAGTTTTCATGAGCAATGTTTCTAACTGGCCAGTTCTAAACATTTTCAGTGTTACCCACGTATTAACAAAACATGTTTAATATGATACATATTTTGATTCATCATCATATCAATCATAGTAAAACAAATTCGCATTTTTATCTATTAAGATTTATTATTACAGAATTAATGTGCCTAAAATCTTGTTTAAATCATAATAAAATTACTTACTACGATGCGTAGTTACTAATGTATTTGATGCCTGTTAATAAATGCGCCTTGTGTTCTTTTCGTCCAGTAATAATTGTAGCGGAATTGCCCTATTAGATTTAATTAAGCTTGGATGCATTGTTACGTAAAGCTAATTACTGTCAATAGTATCTGATAATTGACGAAGAGATATCAAAATAGTTTACGTGTAACACATTATTAAAGCGTTTCGCCATGATATAATTAACATAATGGTTCGTGTATTAAAATCTATATAAAATTATCTCCAATACCTATTAATTTAATAGAGAATAGTTATATTTTAAATTAAGTTCGAAATCTATTTATATATTTATTAACACAAACGTGTCATTATATTTCATCGAAAAATAGATGAAACACACGTTTCCTGTAAATTCAGAATTTAATTTACTTCCAAGAAAAATACACTTTTATATAATACACTATACTTTTTCGTTACATCACACTTATGGCTCAGATGCTCTTCAGTAGTCTTTTAGTGAAATAAAAATAAATTAGTGAAATTTCAAAGCTTAGCCGTCGTACCCAAAATTGTAAAAGTTGTGACAATGTGGGTGAAACTGTATTGACGAAACAAAATTGATGTAGATGTAACAGCTATAACAATATAGTAAATACCAACGAATTGTAAATACATATTTTTATTATAAAGTAAGAAGGAGACAGACTTATGGGTTTCTTTCACTGACAAGTTTTAAAACTTTCAAATCGTCACAAATTTCCTCGGGTATCGACCTAAGTAAGTGTGTATGTTACTAATTAGTGATGCACATTTTAATGTATTAGACAAAGATTCAACTGTGTGACACTAGTTTTAAAATTTTTCCTTTGTATAAAGGCCTGTATTCACTTTGATTAGTGCGAGTGCAAGTGGTTAGTAATTGACATTGAGTAGTGAAGGTGTGTAGTGCAAGTAGTGTCCAATTATTGTTCAGTGGCTCTGTTAAGTAATAGGCCGGGAGATAGTGACACAAAATAGTGGGTCATTTGTACCAGTATGGCGGTTCTTCAGGGGTCTTATTACGAAATGAAAAAAAGAAGAATGATCGTCATAGCGCTGGTACCGGCGGCCCAAGGGCTACTAATCACTTGCACTCGCACTAATCAAAGTGACTACAGGCCTTATAACAAAACGGATACAATTGCCTATTTGTAGACGAAACAATTTAACTGGTCTATTAACACATCCAGTGTTATAGAACCCTTATAAAGATTTAGTTACAGTTTTCCATATACTAAATCGGAATTAATAATAATTGGCCGCAGAACGCTTTGAGTATACTGTGAGTATAGACTTTGTCCAGGCCTCATTATGAAAAATTAATAAATTGTAAATTAATGTATTTAATGTTCCTGAGTAATATTTAATTTGATAGAAGAAAGCGACTTTTGTGATACGTCTTAGGTAGTTATGCTATCCTTACCAGAAAAAAAATGGTAAGATGTTTTTTAAGTTACTTAAAACCGTTACTTACTTTGTTCCAGGTGCCTTCATGGTCCTTTCATATCCTCACTTCCTCTACGCAGATCACACTTATAAAAATGGAGTTATAGGAATGACCCCTGTTGAAGAGCAACACAGAATATTTGCCGACCTTGATCCTGTACGTATATCGTTCAAATGAACAACCGATTTTAATGAATACAATACTTTTCTACAAAAATATTTTCAGACCAGGCTGCATTCGAGTAAAAATTAAAATCTGCTAATTTTTGTTTACCGAAACCTGTGCTTTATAATTGAATTTTATTCGTTTAATGTATATGTACCTACTTCCTTAATTTTTAAATATAAATTGACCATATTCTCAAAATCGTTTAACTAATTTTACAGGCAAATTTAGCAAATTCAGATACATAGTTGTTTTGTCTACCATTTAATTATTTGCAGTACACGGGCACAGTGATTCGAGGAAGTAAAAGAGCCCAATTCAACGTATTTATGCGGCCCGTGAGGAGTATCGCTGCTACGAATGCCCTCAGGACTACTCTTACTCCAATATTTTGGGTTGACGAGGTGTGTTTTTATAGTTTTCATAATACTTGGCTTCGATTGGTATACTCATAACTTCCTCTAGAGAGCTATCGCCTTTAAAGACTACGATTCTCAACCCCGAGTCGTGCGTTCACTCGCCTGTGCCAATAAATCGGCGGATTAATTTATACGGCAAAGAAAAACATCGTGAAGATACTCGTAATCTCGATCTCATAGACGAAAAACTATAGGTGTCAGGCACAAAGGGCTAACTGTTTTAGGACAAAATAAATATTTTGAAACAGAATCAGAAATCTGAAGCACCCAGCTTTATAAATGGTACTTTTATTTACAGGGGATGTCTTTGCCTGAAGACCTGACTAATATGATAAAAAGAAGACTGTTAGGTTCATTAAATTTAGTAGACATATTTATACCTATACTTATATCTTTGAGTGCTTTTCTGGCTGTTTTTGGAGTGGTACTCGTTCTATGGACCAAGAGACGCTCGAATATCAACATTTAAATATACCTCAAGCCAAACAATTGTCGAACGTAATATGTAGAATTATCTGGTTACATGTATCTGTTTGCCTATTATTAAAATATTGTAATATTAAAATAGCTTTACTCTTTCATTTTGTCGATTAACTTGTTTTGCGTATTAAATACAATGTTAAAATGGGAATTAAGAAAAAAATAACACATTATCTAGATACCACATATATTTAGAAAGTATGTAATCATTAATTATCCATCTTAGAAATAACATTGAATTATAATCATGACATGAAAATCTGACAGAGAAATACAACAATGGATAGAGACAATTATAGATGGGACACCCAGCCTTACAGAGATAAATAAGGTCTTCAGCTATTACATACTAATTTTACAGAATCAATAAAATAACATTTATTATAATATATATTTTGTGTACGTGTTATAAGTTTTACGTATTCACTGCAACATTGAGACATTTAAGTTATAATCGAGTTGAATAAGAGGACTACTTTCTATGTGCTTATTGTATCGTTTATTTCATGAGACAGACTATTCTCATGCATTCTTAAATCAAAATCACAAGTGATCTAACACAAAATGTAATATAATGCTACATTACAATCAGTACATTTACGATATCAGCTAAATATTCTGCATATTATCAGCTTCTTCAAGACTGTGTGTTTATTATATAGACTGTTGCTCGTGGTATCAAGCCAGAAAAAGCGTCTCAAATTAATCACTATTATTATGCAACGCAAATTTTCAACACACTCGATAAAGAAAAAATAAGTCTTATTTTGTTGATAGTTGAATCATATACAATTAAATCATAAAAAAAGAACGAGGCTGATAGTGGGGTTTTACCTTTTTACACTGGACTAGAAATTACAAAACTTGAGATTTCGCTTGTAAAGTATTAAAATTATTATACGTTTATAAATAATTAACAAATTGATCAACTTAATATATCCAGACACCATCGTATCAGCCCCTTCCCACACATAAGGGGATTTTCAACCGACCCCCTGGTGACGTTTTATTAGCAACGAAATTTTGGACTGGACATTACCAACAAAAATCCAATTTTACCTACTGATAGTACAATCGATCATGCGGTAATCAGATTCCGGGGTCTGTGTAGACAATCCCTTAAAATTAAACTCTCTCTCAAGCTTAATTATTTAATGTATATATATATATTTAATCATTTATCGCAATTAAGGAACAAAACAAAATTTTTAAACATAAAATTATATTATCTTAATTTATATAATCAACACTCCATTAAGTTAGATAAAAAAATTGCATATTGAAAGTAAGATAATATAGAAATTATAATTATTGTATATAAAATTTACAATAATATATCTTTTTAGTTAGTTCATAAAATATAGAATTTTTCCTAAATTTACTCGAAATTAGAATTTGACATTTAACATAAGCTCATGTCCAAAAGCCTTTTATAATCCTTATATGTCGTTTAAAAAAGAAATTAAATTATTAGAAATAGAAAGAGGACCCTCAGCTTAAACAAATGTCAACCAGAATTTAACTATTACTCAATAACAAATATTAAATCTATAAACCATATACAGTATGTACAAAAATCAATCAAATACAGTTTAGTTTTAAAATGTTTCTGGTCAGATGTCATTAAATATGACATAGAGAACTAGAATATAATATGTACAGTATATTTACAATTACAACAATTAGTTCTATAAAATAAAAGTTACTCAACCAAGTTTCTTTTATGGTCATTATTTCGCTTACCTTTAGCGTGGGCCAACATAGTGACAAGTTTCTTATGGCTGTCTCCAACGATCCAGCCGTGTTGCTGAACGTGTTCGGGCTCCTGTTCATCCGACCAGTAGTAGGGTGAAGGGCGAGTGCGTGCCTTTGTGCTCGAGGAACACACCGCACTTGGTCTCGTTGTTGGCACTACTCTCGAAATACTTTCCGAGGAATTTCGGTTGCTTCGATTGCTGCAATGCGCTTCACGTTTCACCGATACTTGTCGGTTGCCGCTCTTACGAATCCCAAGCGCATGGCCGTCTTTTTTTCTATTTTTCTTCTTACGACTCGTTCCAGCAGCAACAGAATCGGCACTATTAGGCCTTGGCGGGATTCCATCAGGCTCAGATTCTGAACTCCAAGTCTCAGCCAAAACATTTTGTTTTCCCACAGTACACTTACGACGGGCCCTTTGTCGAGCCACTCCCGTGTCATCATAAGTATTAATAGGTTCGTCGGTATAGTCAAAACTGTTATTTTCTATGTCTGTGTCAGTAGATTTCATTCCAAATTTTTTTTCTTTCGATTTATGTCTATTATCATCTGTAAGACTGTCATTATCATCAGCCGATGATTCGTCAACCCCAAAAAGCGATTCGACGTCGTCATTATTCGGAGAGATAGTGTTAACTCGCTTGGTTTCGTATTTGAACGACTTATCATCATAGTTTTCATACAACGCTTCTTTCTTTTTACGTGACGTATGTTTAAAGCTTAATTTATTTTTATCTTTAGATGTTGAAGGACTGCAGCTTGCTAGATTGTCATCTTCTTTATCAGTGGAAAACTCTTTTTCTTTTGAAGACGAGTTTTGGGATCCTCTTCTTTTATGTTGTGAAGTTAGACTTGTAAAAGATTCTGGAGTAGGACTTCTTTCTATTTTTCTTGACCGTTCCGAATCAGAATCATCGGGACCATCATCTTCATGGCATTTAACAGACTTACTACCGCGTTTGGAGATTTCACTACTATGAGAAAACGAAGATTCCAAATTGTATAAATCTTCTTTTTTAGGGGATGATGTTATTGGTGAATTAGGTTCTTCTAGTAAACTGTCAAATAGTTGGTCCAAATTTGCTTTTGGCTTTATAGGTTCTTTTGTTTTCGCAATTTTTTTCTCAGCTCTAACGGCATTGTGCTTAAATATTTTTCCCATAACTGCACTTTTCTCAGTTGTGTCTTTTCTTTTCGGTGTAGATAATGATTTTTTAAATTCAGACGAATTTTTGGTGTTTCCTAATTCACAAGACATTAAACTATTCTCAGTCTCAGCATCGCTGCAAATGTAGTCATCTGACATATAAACAAAATCATCACCATCAGATACACTTTCAGTAGAGACTTCCGGGTCAATATCAATAGGCTGCGACTTTGAAGTACTGGGTTTGACGTCTTTTATAGTCTTAAAACGCTCCATTAAAGTAGAAGGTCTGAATTCAAACGGTTCAGCCTCTTCACTGTCCATAAATTCGTATACGTCAACTTTTTTTTGAGTATCTTTACTTTTATGATCGCTATCATTTTTAAGATTTTCTGAATGTTTTCTTTCTTTTTTTCGTTTGTTATTTCGTTTCTTTTTTTTTGCAGGTGTTGATAAAGGAGGAAGAATTGACGCCATATTGATATCAGATGTTAAAATTGATACTTTTACACCTTCAAAACCTTTTAAAGCGCCTTTAGTGGGAACCGCGCCATGGGTGCTATTCTTTTTGAGACGCTTCTTCCTTTTTTTCTTTTCGACTTTCTTACGGCTTTTAGAACTGCAAAATATGAAAAAATATAAGTTTAAGTGGTACCAGAAATATATATACAAAAAAGGAAAGAAAAATACAACCTTATGCTAGTTTCCACATACTTGGTCTGCTTAGCTGCCTGAGATCTACATTTCCTTTTAATTTTATCAAATTTATCCTCAAACATGTCAATGTCTTCAATAACATCGGGATACATTTTTTCTTTTACCTCATATGCTTTCTTACTTTTTATTTCTTCCGATTGTTTGATGATATTGACATCTTTAGGATGTTCATTACTATTCACTTGTTTAGTATCAACTCCTTCCTCAGGCGTACATGTAGTTATTGGTTTAGCTTTAAAATTACTTGCGCTTGCTGCTGCCTCTTTTAAACCAGTAATCAAATCATTTTCTAAGTTTCGAACCTCTTCACTTTCCATAATATCTTGAGCTGTAATAGAATCTACATCACCATCATCACATTTTTCTTCTAAAATATCATTAATACGTTTTTCTAATAAATTTAAACAATCAGCCGAAGTCTGTACACAGGTATAACATTTTATTTTACAATCTGATGATTCTTTAGCCCTACCTGGTCCATCATCATTATGACTTGCATTTAGAAGTTCACAACAATCTAGAAAAAGAGCCTCGTCTCTACTGAGACCGCGATGTGCAAGTTGTTGCTGTCTGACCGTCCTCGTAACATCTGCAATAATATCCTCTAATGTTGGTAATGCAATATTTTCAAGAGATTTACTATATTTTTTTCTTCTAGAAATTTTATCTTGCAAAACATTTAAACGATCTAACTGTTGCTTGTATATAACTAAATAATTAATGTCTTCATTTGTAGGTACGTTCTTAACTTTCAATTCTACATCAGATAGACGGGACACATGCTCAAGTGACAGTAGGTGGCGCAAAAAATTATCTGGCCTACTAAATTTTTTCCTACATGCTTCACAATAGGAAGTTTCAATTTTAGTAGAAATTTTCTTTTTCCTACCACGTTTCGAAATTGTTTTATTAGATGTATTAAAAGATTTTTTGAGATTACCTTCATCATCCGCCGTTTTCCTATTTTCAGAGTGCACATTTTTCTTGTTCGATTTATCCTCGGGTTCACGAAATGAGTTTATAAGATTGTATGTTTCTGATATTTTCTTTGTAGCTAGCAGATTTGATTTTCGAGGCTTTCTTTCGGAAAAGAATCCAAAACTTTCCATAAACTGCTCTGATCTTATTCTCTCTTCGTTATCGTCATGGCCGTTATCTGGATCAGGTTTTTCTGAAGTTACAGAAAGTGTTTTCTTCTTTCTTTTAAGCAATGCTTTATGTGGCTCTTCATTCTTTTCTGATTTCTTCTTGCCCTTTTCCTCAATATATTTAGTCAACGGTTCATCGCTTTTAGAAGATTCATCAGAATCACAAGGAAGTTCCTTAGCTGTTTGAAGGTTTACCGAGTCTTGCTTTTCATGTTTATTTAGATCATTACTTTCGGAATGTGAAATGTTACTTGATGGAGTACTCGAATCGACTGTTTTAACTACAGTGTCTCTATCAATAGAACTTTTGCTTGTTTTCTTTGGAATGGCAGAGTTACTTAATGATTCCCTGTTTGAAAAGGGATCTGCGTCTGTATCCGTATCTAATAAATTAATATCATAAGGATCATATGTTCCTGAGGTAGATTTAACCAAAAGAGATTTTGATCGACATCGTCGCATTACTGGTTTTTTGCCATGTTTTAAGGATATAGTTGATGAAATATTTTTACTATTTTCTGATTGTCTTACAATTTCATCAGAATTATTGCCATCAATCTTTTCGCTATTAATATTTGATTTTCCTTCAAAAGATTGACGAAGCTCGTTCTTGCTAAGAGTTGTATTCGATTTTGTATTTTCAACTACTTTTATAGGTACATCTACATCACTAGAACTATATATCTGGCGAGCCCCTAAGTTATCGCAATCTGAATTCTCATTGTAGACAACTTTACATTCGTCGAGAATAGTGAGCGATGTTTTGTCTTTATTACTTGCCTCTTTTGTGCTAATGGTTCGCAAGCTTGGATTATCTGTTCTTTTTATATCGACATCGCTGGCATTACAAGTCTGGCGATGACCTAAGTTGTCGCAAACTGAATTTTCATTGTACTCAACCTTACATGCATCAAGAATAGTGTATGATATTTTGTCTATAGTACTCACCTCTTTGGTGTTTTTAGTTGGCAAGTTAGGATTATCTGATACATTTATAGGTACATCTACATCGCTAGCACTACATATCTGGCGAAGACCTATGTCATCGCAATCTGAATTTTCATTGTACTCAACTTTATTATTAGCCTCTTCTGTGGTTTCATTTCGTAAGCTGGGATTATCAACATTCGATTTTTTCTTCTTCTCTTTGTTTATTCTAGAACTGTGTTTTTTATCTTTTTTTTCACGTTTATAAATCAATTCAACCAGAAAATCAAACTCTAAAGTAGACGCGGTACTACTTCCATTGTCGTTTTCTTTTGATAGTTCTTCAGTGTTAGCTTCCTTAGTTTCCTGTTTTTCTAAACTAACAGAAAGTGTTTTCTTGTTCTTATGTGTTTCAGCTGATGTTTCACAAGGCTTTTGATTACTGTTTTCCGGGTGATTACTTTGTGTTTTTTTCCTTTTCTTTTTCTCAGCAGATTTTTTCAATGGTTCATCGCTCTTTGAAGATTCATCAGAATCACTCAAGATAGTTTGAGCTTCAGATATTTGTCGGGTCGCTGCACCTTGCTTTTCTGGCTCCTGGGAATTTTCTGCTGTAGATTTGTATAAAATACTTGTTGATGGAGCGTTAGACTCATTTAGGTCATCGTCGTCATTATTATTAGAGGTATTAATTAATTTACTTCGATAAGAGAGCCTTTTTATAGAGTTTCTTTTTAAAAACGGATCTTCATCAGTTACCTTATGTAATAAATTAAAATCATATGGATCATACATTTCACACGTCGACTCTGTTAGAACGGACTTCAGGCGACATCGTTGCACTGCAGAATTTGTGTTATTTTCAATGATCTTAATATTGTTTTCAGAATAAGCATCGACATCAATATTCGATTTTAACTTTTTAGTTTCACCCGACAAAACAAGTTCACTACTATTAGAGCTGTTAGATTTTCGTTTTTCGATTAGTTTCGGCTCATTTTCTACCAAAGCTAAATTTACATCTTTAGCACGACACACCTGATGAAGGCCAGCGTCATCGCAATCAGAATCCTCGCCGTACGTAACATTACTTGAGTAAGGTGTTTCAAGGTTACTACTAGATTCTTTCTCGTTTTCGTAAGTCAGTTCATTAAAAAGAGGTTTTGATATATTTTGCTTCCCTTTTTTCTGAAGGGAATTGTGCCCATTATCAGTTTTTTCACGATTGTGCGTCATTTTTACGAGACAATCCAAATCTAAATTAGATGAAGTATTTATTTCTTCTAGTTTTTCTTTATCGAGTTGATCGTTATTATCGCTTTTAAATTCAGTGGTTTTAGCATCATGTTTGTCTACACATACAGAAACCCATCTATTATCCGTTCCAATTTTATTGTGTTCCGGATGTTTCATTTGTGATTTCTTCTCCTTTTCTTCAATATATTTCGTTAATGGTTCATCACTCTTTGAAGATTCATCAGAATCACTGAAAAGGAATTTAGATTCAGATGGCTCTCCTGCGGCTACATCGTCCTGTTTTTTCTGGGTACTATCATCCATACAACTAAATGAAGTACTAAGCGATGGAGTATTATTCCACTCAGTTGGTTTAACCTGTTCATCATAGCTCACGATCTTTCGATGACAATTACTCTTTTCAGAATCATCCTCATCATAAGATTTACTTTTTAAAACGGCAGGTGTCACTGCTGTTTTATCCTTAATGTAATCATAATTATTTGTGTCAGACACCGATTTCTCCAAAACAGTGTTTGTGGTATTTTCATTGCTTGTTATAGCATATTTGGTACTGCTATAACAATTGTTGATATTAATATTGTCGTCATTCATGGTGGTTTTTATTTTTTTTGCTATAGCTGATGAAAAAATTGGTTGATTGTTATTAGAACTAATCGACTTGCGTTTACCGGTAATTTTGGGACGTCTTTCACTTGTTGAATCTACTTCTTTGTCAGGCATCTGATAAGGATCTACTTCAACATTTCCAACATTTTCGTGATCGTGAACTTCTCCGGCATCAATAATAGACGATGTTTTAAATATAGTACGCGCTTGATTTGTGTTTTCATTTTGCAAGCTCTGATTATCGACAAGAGGCTTCAATTTGTTTTGCTTCTCCTTTTCCTGAATAAGATGCTTTCTTTTATCATCTTTTTCACGCTTATATAATAATTCAACGATATAATCAAACTCTTTACTAGACGATCCACTGCTTTCTTTATGTTTTTCTTTATCCAACTTATCGGCATCAACTTGAATTTCAGTGTTTTTAGTACCATGTCCTTCTAAAGTAACAGAAAGTGTTTTCATGTGTGTTTTAGATGATGTTTCACAAGGTTCATTATTACTCTTTTCTTGGTTTTTGCGAGAGTTTTTCTTTTTCGTTTCGGGAGGCGTTTTCAATGGTTCATCTCTTATTGAAGATTCACCAGGATAACTTAAAAGGGCTTTTGTTTCAATGATCTGCCAGGTTGTTGCTTCTTCCTCCTGTTCTTGTTTTTCCTTACAACAACCTTCTATGTCAGTATTTAAAATACTAGTCGTTGTAGAATTAACAAATTCAACGTCATCATTATTAGATGTTTTGTTTACGATCTTTTGATTAGTTGGCTTATATTCCGACTGTCCTTTGTAATTAGGTATTGTCTCTGAAACATTTTCATATGAATAATACATTTCAGACGTTGATTGAGATACGACAGATTTTGAACGACATCGTCGCACTGCAGATATAATATGAGCATTATCATTGGTGTTAACATTTTTAGTATTGTTGTCACAATTACGGCCAATAGCATTGTCTTCTTCATCAATAATTGTTTTTAACTTCTTTTCCTTAGCTGACAAAACAAGTTCATTGATAATAGAACTACTAGATTTACGTTTTCCTGCTATCTTCTCACTTTTTATAGGTAAGTCAATACGTTTAATACTAGACAACGCAAGAATGTCTGATTTGGCGCATTCTGAATTATTCACTCGGTACTGAATTTTACATACTTCATCTTTATCAGGGACTAAAACTGTAGATTCAACTTTGTTTAGTGAGATCGGGTTTGCAAGAGCCATTTCGTTTAATTTCGTTAGCTTTTTTCTTTTGTGAGTCGACTTTTTCCGTTTTTGTGATTTTTCCTTCACGGGAAAGCTAAAATCTACTTCACGTGGACGAAGAGGCATATTTTCGACATGTTTATCCAAGTGCAAGTCATCAGAATCAGGGACTTTTGCAACAGTGTTTCCTTCATCTTGGAGCATTTTAGAGAAAATTAACTGTTTTTTAGTATATGGGCCCCGCAGCTCCCCGACATCACCAATATTATGAAAATTACAACTATCACCATTATTATCAAATAATAGTGATTTTCCCCGTCTACTGCGACGAAGAGGAGTAAACAATCTCTCTTTTTCCAAACGGATTTCACTTTCAGCTATTTTTTTGTGAGGATTTTCTTTTTTCTCTTTTTTTGGATCAAATGTTGATGGCTTTAACAAACAGGCTGATTGTGATGCAGGCTCAATTTCATTAGCAATAGTGTTATTATTTGATGATAATCTATGCGGATCCTGATCACCTAAACTTGTTTGAACGGCTTCGGAATATTTTTCATTTAAAGGAACATTAGATTCGTTGTTACTAGGCAGCGTCTTATCAAAGTTTATCGGAGAGTACTTCAAGATTTTTATGGGACTAAAATATTTTTCTGATTTAGATCTCCCCTCCATTATTGCAGATATTTTACATGATGTTTCCTTGTGTTTACTAGTGATGGAGATATCTAAACCTTTTTCCTCGTAATTGTTTTTATCTGTTTTATCAAAGATTGCACCAGCTCTATATTCTTTTAACTCAGGCGTAATATCCAGAGAATCCATAACTTCTTTCGAGTAATTAGTGATAGATTTGTTTTTATTTGTGCTATTGACATTATTTGAACAAGTTTCAAGTACACCTAATTTTCTTTGTTTTTGTTTTACTATGACAGCTAAAGAAACGTCGTCTTCCGAGTCATCTTCGTCGAAGCTTTCCAGTATTTTTTCTACTTCTTGAGAATTATCCCGACGTTCCAAACTGTCGTTCTGCAATGGTGACTCAGAATCTGATATGTTAACGCTGTCTTTACTAACTGATTTAGAATTAAATGTTGCCATATCGGTTTGTAAACTTTGCAAGGGAACATTACTTAAGAAATTGGTTGTCGTTCTTTCTTTTCGTGGTTCATTATGTCCATCAAGAAGTTCTGATCGATTTAACGTCAAAGGTGTATCAATTTGTTCACTTAAAATAGCATCAACAACAGAAACGGCGTGTACGTTTGTAGCTTTAGTCACACTTGTTTCAAATTTCTGCACTACTGGGCTAATATCATTGTTGCCACTATCTGAGCTGTGGCTATCGATATATTTTTTTTCTGGAATAATCTTTTTTAGTTCTGTTTCTAATATAATCGATTTAGCTCTCTCTGATGGTGCTTTAATCCTTACGGCACGTAAGCTTGCTGTTTTTTCGTTATTCGTTTTAAATCCGAATGCTTTTACTACCGGGCTCTCGGTTTTGTTTTCTTTTTCCGGAGAAATAGAACAAGAAATTGTGTCTACATTATCATCAGTTAAATCAATAATACCACACATACTTAGATCAATGGAGCGCCTCTTATTGTCATTAAGGCAACTTTTATTTGTATCTTCTATACTACCATGAAATTGGCCGTATTCACCTTCAGACTTCTTAGTCTCTCCTTGTGGTTGATAATAAGGATGTGGAACTTGATACCTATCAACAATAGAATGTTGACTCTTAGACATTCCGGAATATTGGGGAATTTCTGTATTATCAGTTTCATTGCAAGGCTGAGAGTGTCGATGGCTTGATGACAGTTTTGGATCGTTAAAAGCATCGTGTCTGATAGGTGCAGCGGATGTTGACACTGATACGTATTGAGGAAGAACATTGAGTAACTGATTGCGGTGATCAACTGGCATGTTTCCTAAGATGTCTACAAGTTCTTTCGGTAACAAAGCTATTTTCTTGGCAGTTTCCGGATCATTGTCAATAGGACAGGAATTTCTTTCATTCAGTTCATAGTTTCTTTTTGTCAGGTTTTCCTGAGATCGTTTTGATTTAGAAGGTTGAAGTGACAAATCTGATGCATTCTGTTTATCAGCTTGCTTTACAGATTTCGCAAGTTCAGTTGCATTAATATAGTTAGGTGTAATGCTTACGGATGGCCGAAGTATTGTTTTTAAATTTGACGTATTATTTGGGTTCAGAGGCATATTAAGAATGTCAAGTGTTTTGACACATTCTTGCGAAGCTATATGAGTTTTGTTATGCAATGAATCACAATTTGATACTTTTATTAGAGGATTACAAAGATTCATGGGTGCTTTATCAAGTAAAGTCGACGACCCGGACATAGTAGAAACATCTACAAAATTGTATTGAACTTTTCGGGATTGATTAAACTCATCTGCAGAGAATCTTTCATCTTCAATGTGCACTTCAGATGGAATTGTCATCTGTCTTGATTGTATTTTATATGAATTTCCATTTGTATTATATTGTAACGGAATTGGGTGGGAAGTTATATTTTTTCCAGTGGTGATAATATTTTTATTTATATGTTGGCCGTAGGGAAAATCTGGTGAATTTGTATTATCATAATCACAAATGTCAAGCGATGAAGTTGTATTATTTGCATCTTGTCCTATTACTTGTTTTGAGGATAATACTTCTAAACATGTCCGAGACAAATCTGTTGGAAATTCATTTGGAGATAAATTTAATCCGATAATATCGTTTTGGGAGAAAGTGAAGTTAGAAGTTGGACGCATAACACTTAGATCTTTACGAGTCATTGTAATAAAATGACCAGTTTTTCCTTTTCCCTTAACAGATAAATCGGTAGGCATGAATTCCGTGTGTCTTACTGATAGATCTGTAGCTGTCATATCGTTGTAACTTATATCTTCTGCATAATTAAAAGAAGCGGTAGATGTAGAGGGAATCGCAGGCTTTACTCGTAAATCAACTACGACTTCGTCATTAGATAGTTCGTTAATATCACCTTTTTGAAAGACTTTATTTATTCCTTTATTTGACAAATCTAAAGTTTCATATACATGAGCGGAACTGTTATATGAAATATCTTGCTTTGAGCTATGGGCGATCACTTCATTTACATATAATTTGCCCGATAAATCTAACGGTGCCGTTGATATCGATTCAGCATCAACAATACAATGCGCAGGTGGTATTTCTTCAGAGATATACAATTTATTTTTATTTATTGACTCATTTATACTTTCATGTCCATTATGTGCTTCCTTGTGACTTGATTCCAAAACTTGCATCACCGATCTATCCAGTGACGAACTTTCCTTATTTATTACCGTTAAAATATTGTTACTTTCCTTAGCCGTAACATTTATATGTATAGCTTGACGTTTAGGAGTCACACTTCGTCTAACAAAATTATCAATTTTTTGTATATTTTGAACACTTTCTGAAGCATTAGCATTTATTTCAGATTCATTGTATTTTGGCGGTCTTCCAGTTTTCTTAAAAACAGGCAAATAATTATTACGTTCACAGTTTCTAAGCTCAGAGGTTCCTGAAATACCAACCGATGCAGGATTATCATGATGTTTATTTTCCATATTTATACTCAAACTAACTTTGTGTGTTGTGACTGATTCTGATTTCTGTTTTGTGCTTGCTATACGGGATGCTGACTTAACATTCTTTTCCGTAATGTTTCCTTTGTTTAATATATTTCTAGAGCGCGGAGTTATCACGGTTTCAGGTGCTTGATTATCATCTGGACATTGAACAGTTATATCGTTGCGATTGGTTATAACTCTTTTCGGCGGAGGATTTGGTGTTTCGTCGATTTTACACTGTATAGATACCTCGGGAGACTTACTAGGTTCAACCAATTTATTTTTTAACATAGCAATACAATCATTAAGTCCTTTTCGCTGTTTATTTAATTTGTTTTTATGGTTATTTAGCGTATCTAAATCTTCACCTTTTTCTTTAGTTTCTAAAGGTGGTTTATCAAGTTTATCAGTAACTGCTTTATCTTCAAAGAAAACTGGTTGCCCAGAAGGATCATGTTGCGTTACATTATTGCATTCCTGTTGCACTAAAAACAAATGATGAAATTGGACGGCTTTATCATGGGTGTCAGAATCAGCCGTTAAGCGGGCGATCGAGTGTTTTAATGGAATATTTTGGGGAGGTGCTCCCTGATCACGAAAATTTCCATCATTATCATTTCGCTCAGGGTTTTGATTCTCCCTATTATTAGATCCATCGTTGTTGGATCCATTTGCTTGTTCTCGAGTGTTGTAAGGTCCAGAGTTGACATTTATCCTGTTGGGTTGATTCTGGAGGGATAATACTTGTGTCTTAGAACCAGCTGAAGATGCAATACTATCTGAAGATAATGATAGTTGATTACTAACAGCTTCTATTCTAGAATCATATCTTATATTGACATCATTTCTATGAGTTTTGTTTGTTTTCTTATTTATAATCACCGTGCTACGACGGGTTAATTTATTTTTCATAATTTTACTTTCTTTCAAATTATTAGGTTCACCGTCACCTTGGAATGTAGTGTTAGTACTACTATCAGTGTTGAATCTCCTGTTTTTATTGTCTTCTGTATGCCGTTTACTAAAAGTAAGTTGATCTAACTGTGGATTAATTTTCTTTTTAGGTCTCAAATTTGAACCTGTTGGAGTTACTCGGTGGCGTTTTGCTGGTAAATCTGCTATCATTTTTCTGATGGTTTCGGCTGGAATATAAAACATATTATTAATTCAATTATTATTTATTATAGTATTTATAAATATGAAATTAAATAAATATTGCATTGGCACTTACCGTCTCCAACTTCGGATCGAATTTTTGGTCTAGGTCTTCCATTTTGTCGATGTATGTCTTTACGAATTTTTTTCCGTATTCGGCTATCTTGAATACGTGTACGCCTTTTTCGTACTCCAAAATGGCGATATCGACATTTTCTTCTCACTGTTGGCATATCTCCGGCACAATCTAACATGTGCTGATGTAGATCTTCAATTGTAATGGATTTATTGCATTTAGTGCATTCTCGAAAACCCCTTGGAGGTCGGGTTCTATTTTGCACAGGGCTGGGTGGTACATACAAATGTCTAAGGATATCAGCATTCAGCAACAATTCTCCCGGTATCTCGTAATGTTGAACTTGGGCATTAGGATGTTCAGTTAAAATGTGTGTTGAAAGAGTTCGAGGATCTCTTGTTTGTGCGCCACAGGCACAACATACATAACAACGAGGTCTCACCCATTCTCCACTCAAAACTGCCGGTTGTATTTCATATTTACTAGTAGATGGTGTAAGACCTAATGATGTTGGAAAATCGAGGTTGTTAGGAACTTTGACAAGTGCCGTACAATTGCGAGAAACCTGTGCCGTTGATGGTGGTAATTGTCTACTTTCGAGTATTTCTTTTAATTCATTACTTATAATTTTTTTCTTTTCAGTTTTTTTCTCAAAAGGTGTAGTTTTAAACTTTTCTTCAAATTTATGTCTCATACATAGTTGAGTCCAAATATCTAGACTTGAAACCAACGTTACTATACAGTTATTTACATGTGAATCCCGCTTTATTTGGTCTGCATTAAAAGAGCTCCTGTCGTTTTCCAAGTTGTCCCACTTCCATTTGTGTTTTGGTGCTATTGCTCGTGGCATGTATACATCAAATATATTTCGTGAGTACTGTTCACACGATAATAAAATTGGAAACCCCTCGACTGTATTAATAGGGACACTATTTTTGGCTTTCCTTGGTTTAATCGTATGATTTGGATCTGGATTAAAATTGAAGGAACCGTCAAGAAACTTAGATAAATTTTCTTGTACATTACTCGCGACTTTAGAATAAAAGTTGGTATCGAAGCATCTTTCAAACTTCTGGGTTGCATCGTCAATGACTTTAAACCAATCCTTACGAGTAGATTCTCCTGTTCTAGGAGACCTATGCACCACTCCCAATCTTGATAAAATTTGATCGGTATCGGTATTGTGAAATGAAAAATTTTGCGGTATACGCTTTTTCCATTGTAAATCATCAAGTAGTATAACCGCATTTTTGTCAATAATGTTATTAGCCTGATTAATCGACGGCAAAATTAAGTTGGTCGTAATGTTATCTTCAATATCAGCAGCGTCGGTCACATGAGTAGGCTTAAGTTCACACGATATAACAATGCTTTTATAGCCATGCCTTTCTTCGTCCCGTATTACAACTTGTCGATCAAGCTTACGAGATTTTTTGCTAGCTCTGTTTGATTTTTGAGGTAATTTACTTTTATAATGTAGTTTTTGCCGTTCACAGACATTTAGTTTATGTTCAGCCAATTCTGATGTTGATAGAAACCTTGTGTGGCAATCAAGACAGGCAAAGTATTGATTTGGATGACTATCAATCATATGCTTGAAAATATTGTTGGGTTCAGGATCAGAGTGATTACAGTAAAGGCAATTGATAACACCTTTATCACCTTGTTTCGAAGTCAAAAAATGAATACGTCGAGTATGTTTAGACGCTGTTTGCTTAGAAACAAAATTTTTATCGCAGTAGGGGCAAAGATATTCTAAGACAGAGGAAAAGTCAGACTTTTTAGAGAGATCATCAGATTTAGTAAGCGGATTCTTGGATTGGGTAGAAACACGCTTGGGTTTTTCATGCGAAAGTTTGGATTCTAATCTTCGTGTCGTCTTGGTTGTTTGTGGACTGGACACGTAAGACTTCCTAGGCCTCAATCTTCCATTTATTCCAGACGATAAGTCATCGTCACCCGTGCTCATTGTGTTTTCTTGTTCCTTCCTAAAATATAACACGACAAACAATAAAGAACCGCAGCTTAACCCTTAGTCCATTGAAATGTTACATTTGCTGAACATTTGTTAGAGGACGTAATTTTATTTATGGAACATGTAGGGGGGGTCAATACAAGCTTACACCCAAGTTTGTGGGAATGGCGCCCTTGTCCTCCGGCCGCCATCTTGGAAAAAGGGGTGAAAACACGTTTTTGGCTATATCTCCTAAACTATCCATCGTACAATAAAATTGTGAGGACATATTTTGTAGCAAATCGTTATGCCAATTATGTCTGTGTGACTTTTTATGATAAAGCCAAAATCCAAAAGTTATAAGTAAAAAGTGAAAGAAAATCCTTTTTTGCTTAATAACTTTTTTCTCTTAATTTTTATCAAAAAATTATGTCAGAACAATTTTGTAGAGGATCTCTTTCTGAAGATTTTTCTCTATATTTTTTTTCACTAACAACTTGCTGATGAGGTAATCTTCGACATACCGACGACTTTGGAGCGCTGTAACAGCGTTTCCAATAACCGAAATTAAAAAAAAAAAATAATATATAATAGCCAAAAACGTGTTTCACCCCTTTTTCCAAGTTATCGGCCGGGGGACAAGGACGCCAACCCCACAAACTTGGGATAAAGCTTGTATTATCCCCCCCCCTACATTTTCCATAAATAAAATTGCGTCTTCTAACAAATGTTCAGTTTGGCCCTCAAATTGTAACATTTCAATGGACTACCTGTAAAAAAAATTTTTCGCTAATAGACAACTTACGATGTTAAAATGTCTTTAGTATCCGGCCCAAAGACATCAATATACTCATCCGTCGTAACATATGGATCTGGAGCAATGATGTGTGGATCCAGCCCTACATCATGCTTACTTTGAGCCTTCGTCAATATATCATCCGGGTATCTGAACCAAAACAAATAGCCGTTTGAAAATATTGATATTTAACATAGACTTTTTTGAAACATAACCCTAAAAATAAATATTAAATCTGGCGATTATTTATTTTACCAAAAGAAATAGTAAAAATATATTAACACAGGCAATCGCTTTCGAAAAACATCCTAAAATTCTTATACTACCCGTTTGTTTCAAACAAAAATTCCATGCAAGCTCGCTAGCAAGAGCCTCAAATCTCAAAACACAATATAAAATTCCTATATGCAGAATAGTTATTTGGTAGAGTTCATACGTAAAATTAAAATTCGCCTATGTTGCATTAGCACTTACCTAATTAAGAATTTATTTTTATTTACTTAATAGGAAAAGAGGCTTCTTTTGATTAAACTGACTAATCTGTAAAAGTAGATATGTAAGCTATTCACAATATATAAATATATACATATAATATAGATATAAATATGTTCATGTGTTTTATTAATGTAAGTAAACAGTCATAAAAAAGCTTTTTTCCCGGGAATTCAAATCTAGATAAAACCAGGTCCGCCACCGTTGAGAACCCTAATACTTAAGCGAAATCCCACAAGTCCTACTCAGTCCCTCATTGTGATCAACATTGTGTTAAAATTAAGAAAAGGTTAAATAAGTGCATTGTGTCCTAAGGCTTCTTCACCTCCGACTCAAAACAATTGTTTTGTATCCTAAAATTGGTAAATTAAAATAAGGAAGTGTTACATCATGCCAAAAACAAACGTAGTTAATTCGCGAATGCTCTTACATTTATTGCATTTAATAAGTACACAAAGGCAAAAGTATTAAAATTCTTAATAAAAAATATTGACTTAGTCAATAATATTAGTATAACTTTTCATAATGGTGAAATCCACCAATCCTCTGTTGCCATGAGGCCCCAGAACTACATCCGGACCTGGGATCGCCAACTTGTTTATCTTAATTAGCGCCGAAAAATGAGATTTTATTTAATAAACTGACTGATTGAATAAGGTGTGTTACTACACAAAGTGTGTGTTAACTGTTAGGATAGAAGAATAAGTTGATATATAAGTTCTTAAATTTTAAACTTAAAAATAAACATTGCCATCGCACGACTAAAAGAGATTTGCTCCTTTTAAATTGTTTAGTTTCAATTTTTTTTACTGAAAATACCCGTTACTAGTTACCGTCTTTAATTCATGCAAAAGTTTTCTACCTTGACAACAATTCGAACAAACTTCTGCATATATATTATTACTATCAAATTAAATGCATTTGAATCAAAATTAATATGAATTAATGTATAAAATGTAATTCAGAGGTGAAGATTTAACTCAATGCTACGTAATGTGGTAACTTCAATCTTGACAAGAAAGAACTTAAAAAAGGAACTATTTATATATTACAGATAAATGATAATGTTGTAATGGGCTCCAGTAGTAATAAGTTTACATTAAGCGGCGGTCGCAATAGCTTCTTTGTTAGATACAGTCGCAGTTGTCGGCTAATTATTCAACACTTTTTATTATTACAATTTAAAGTTTCAATTTCATTACGTTTATAAAATATTAATAAATTGCATTAAACTTACGTATGAAGTTGTGGGGCGGCGCGAAGCGCCCGCCCCCGGTTGTGCACAGGCCCACACGTGGCGCCTTCTCCTCGCTTGGTCGAATATTCAAAAAAGTTTTTCTTAGTATTTCACAGCGGCGACCTGTAAGGACAGCCAGCGCGCGACAGCTCTAGGCTCTCAGGAAAGGAAAATACCTGAAAATTTAACATTATTCAGATTCCTGGATGGGGTTAGAAATTCTTGAGTACAAAAACAGAACCTTCGTGTTTATAATAATCTAAACGGTATCTATTCGGACAACCGTTGTATTTTTTCGTTTTAAGCAAAGTTAATATTTTTACTTTCATTCCCCTGTTCATTTTTGGGGAGAACGGGGCTGGTTGTTGTAGGGTAAGTAGTTACAGTGGCATTTGGGACAAAACGCAGAATACTAGTGTCGTTAAAAGTAAAAAATAACGCAGATATTATCAGATCATATGTTGTTAGAGCCAGTGGCGCCACAGTTTTAGTAAAAACTGCACGAAGGTATCGCTGACAAAATCTGACTACAGAATCAATCGTTGAGAAGTGGTTTGCTTCGATTACACGAGGGGAAATGAGCACCGAGGACGATGCACGCAGTGGACGCCCCAAAGAGGCTATCGACGAAAACATCAAACAAGTCCACAAAATAATTTTGAATAACCGAAAGGTGATGTCGATTAAGAAACTGATACCCTAAACATATCAAAGGAACGTGTTGAACACATGAATATTTGGACATTTGAAAGCTCTGTTCAAAGTACGAGCGCGCGATCTCACAATCGACCAAAAACAATAACGAATTGATGTTTCTGAGCAGTGTTTGAAACTTTCAATCGTAATAATTTATTCCACCGTATTGTCCAGATTTGGCCCCCAGCTACTTTTACCTGTTCTCAAACCTCAAGAGAATGCTCACAGGACAGAAATTTTGCGCCGATGAAGAGGTAATCGCCGAAACTGAAGCCTATTTTGAGGCTAAAGACAAATCGCACTATAATAATGGTATCCAAACATTGTATGACCCCTATAATCGTCATATCGCTGTTGAATACATATTGAAAAATCTAATAAAATTCTATAAAATAACTTCTTTTTTTTATGTTAGCCTACAAACTTATCAGCCCCCCGTTATTCTCCCATCGTTTATCTATCGGATTAATTTAATTTGATGTCTCAAATTAATAAGTTGTCGTAGGATGAGGATATATAAATAAACAGGCATATATCGAAGATTCTAATGTGTCATATCTCGTTTAATATACAATTAAAGAGGCAGGAATTGGTTCAACAGAAGCTACAAACTTGAGCAGAGCCAAATCATTTAATAAATCGAATTCTATTGGCGTCGAGGAAATAAGTGACTAGATGATTCCACCTAATAAAAAGCTTTTTGATGTGAAACATCTATAGTCGCACGTAAAACCGATTTCTGGCGGGCTATATAATGGTGTATATATATATATATATATTCAGTAGTGTGTACGGTGTGTGTATTTCGAAGTCACTGATTAAACGAATTAAGTAGTCACGATTTGAAATAAATTCGTAAATTTTTGTATTTAATGAAAATAAATGTTTATTCAATAAATAGTCATCGTTATCAGGAAAAAAACGTAATATTTTATTTTATCATATTTAGTTCCTATCACAATCTGTTATTTTCTGCATATTACTTTTACAAAATAATGTCGATGTTTCACATCAGCCAGGCGTCCGGTGACGGCTCACATTTTTTATTACGTTGTTTTAGTTTGTTGCATTTTGCCCCAGTTAGTGTAACAGCCTGCCCTAGTGTGGGATTTAAAAGGACATCAATTTTTGAAGTTATACTTCTTTAGGCGCGTTATGAAAAATTGGTGAGAGTGAAATTTTACGATGCGCACGCACCTGAGACACAAAATTATCAGTGTGATTATAGCGTGCGCGAGCGAGATGGGAATAAGACAATCTACAAGTAAAAAGAAATAGAATATGCGTGAAGTTAGCAGCTATGCCAAGAATTTTGAATGACCATAATGACCTTTGTAGTACCTTTTAAACAAATAAAGGAGTTTTAATTATTTTTTCAAAGAAATTTAGCAATGCTTTTTCACAAAGTCCTATTGTTACTTAGTTAAATGGTTATGAAACATACCTAGTTATTAAATTGAATGAATAATAAAATAATAAATAATAATTATTATTATTATTAATATCTTAATAATTGAATAATATACTAAATATTAAATATTATTAAATTATTAACGTTAAATATTTATTATTAATTATTTTATATTTATAAAAAAAAAAGAAAGCCAAAGAAGTATAACTTCTTACGCGCGTACATAAGTACACGCATCCTTTTTTTTCTAGGAACAATATTTTATGTATTATCTAATTGTTCGGTACACAGAAAATATGTTTAATTCAAATAATATATGCTATTATTAATAGCTACGCAATCAAACATATGGATCCATAACTAGGTAACATAAGCAAACCAAT